CTGGCTCCTACCAATGGTGTTTGCATGGTCTACGAGTTGTCCTGGGCCATTCGCTAGCAAACGTGCTAAGTGGCTAATGTGGAGCACTCCTGGATACGCATTGGGGCCCACATATGCTGAATGTTTTTATATTCCATGTTTCTATAGTATATTAGGAGTCCATCTTCTATGGGATCAATTCCATGGGCCTCTTCTATCCTGGTGGTATAGTGAAAGCGTTACAGTTCCTCCCACGACTAAGAGTATCCGTAGTAGATTGGGTCATGTTTTATGAGTCAAACGATGGAACAGAGAACGCTGGCAAGAACACGTTCTCAACGAAACCAAAGGACACGGTAAATTGGAGTATTCGACAGAAGTAAAGCAATCCTGCCAACGAACCGTTTCCGTCAGATACCACGTTGACTTCCGTATCAACTACCACGATGTATTGATCTAACACCTACAACTAGCGTTACTGATCGCATCAATCAAAGCTCACAACACAGATTATGAATTACTAAGAAGCGAATTTTGCATTTACCTTGCACTCGTCTTGAATAGTTGCAGTTGATCTCTGCGGGTGGTAGCTACCTCTACAAGACCCCTCTATTCAAGTAGTATTTCCCCACGTTAGCAGATAACTAGTCGCAGTTACGCACTGCCACACCTTCATCAAAATGGCCGATGAAGCAACCAAGCTCAAGCATGTCCTATGCACCCATGCGGCGAAGATGCTTCCACCCCAGGGTACACTGCATCTCACATGCGCATTCGCACTGTCTGACAGGTCCCCTAATACCCCCAACAACAACATCATTCAATAGCATCTGACCCAGCAGGGCCACAACAACTCAAACGAACCGATATCACCCTTTTTCAGTGTTCGATATGGGCTATTTCGGGACGATACCGTGCATTGAGGACCCAGATAACATTTGGGTGTCAGTCCCAGCATCCACAATCTTCATTTATATATATAAGGAGTTACTTCAACTATCCCCATCATGTCATGTACCCAGGACTCCTCCACACTAGCTACATAGCACGTTTACTAGCATATTTGCTAGTAAAATAAGCATTTGCTAGAGACGTACGGCTAATTTTCATCAAGATTCGCTAATGTTGACATCAGGCTGATCATTGTAAGAGTCTAGTTCCTTAGCTGTGATATCATCTTCCTCCATTAGGCTTGCCACATGCTGCTGGAGGAGCCACTTAGTGTGTTGTTCTTAGCAAAGTTCGAAAATCGAATAACCAGTCAAATAACCAGTCAAGTAACCAGTCAAGTAACGAATAACCGTATATGATAACCAGTCGATCAACCAGTCAAATAGTTCTGGTTACCGGTTATTGGTTATTCAACCAATCAAAATAAATATGACCGGTTACCGGTTATCGTATCGATGACCGGTTAATAACCGGAAATGACCGGTTAATAACCGGTAACCAATGGAATCGGTTAGCGAACCCTGCTCGGAACATCTAGTACTCAGTTGAACGCAGTACCGAATAATGCCAAGAGTAACCAGCGATCGTCTGAAAGATTTAGCGATCATATGAAATAAGATTTAGCGATTGTCTGACAATCGTCTGACACTTATCTCACCATTGTCTTATGGAAGGATGGTTTCTCTTCAGACAATTATCAGACTATTCTCTTGGAAAGTCATTTATGCCTAATCAAATCGTCAATTTTACTCCGTTTCAATCAAATGGGCTTTTTACCTCGAGGTGCTGAGTAGCTGGAGCTCTAGCTAGCTACCGACAGCTAGTGGCTCAGCCGTCAGCCGTCAGCCAGATGACCATATGACCATACGCTACAGAGTCGAGTAGCACAAAGCAGAAAGAGTGCAATGACATAAAAAAGCAAGACTGATTTTGCCTACGGGAGACTGTACTGGTACTCATCTCTATTGCCACTTCTCCTATGTAGTCTTTCGAACCCTTGGTTGTGCCATGCGAAGCCCATCTAGCTCTAGTAGATCTAGTCCGCATACCCCATCAACTAACTGTTCAGCTAAATCTACAAATCTACGATCCACGTATGCACAATGGGGTTCGTTGCTTCTCTCTCAAAGGTGCGGTTTGGCACTTGCTGCGACTTGCGGCATCGCTGCATCGCTGCATCAGCTCTGCATCGTACTACAGTAGCTAGTAGTCGTAGTACGTACGACGTACCAGAGCTGCTGCATCGCAGACCTGGGGTTGTGCGACCCAGCTTTTTACAGTTGTCTTTTACTACATCGTACTCTAGTACAGTACTCCGGAACATGTGGGGCATGATGGTATGTACTCCAGAGCAGGGGCCTGAACTGAAGTTCCATATTTTCCAGAGCTACAGAAGGATATAGCTTATACTTTGCCTAGTACCTGGTAAAACTACCGAATTCGAAGTCTTCCAACAATGAAACTCTTCAACGCTTTGCTACGACGCCTGAAGAAATCCCCCAAGTGCAAAGCTGATCGCAACGACAGCAAAGGGGATGATTCCAGCAGGACCAATGACAGTAGTGGCGCGATCGTCTCCACTGCAGTGTCTGTCAAGAGGTATCGGACCTCTAATCAACCCCGCCTTCGAGTTGATAGCAAGAAATGTGCGATGGCCAAAGAGCTCCTACAGCTTTGGAATAAGCACGATTTGGAGGGTTCCAGCAAACTGCTGAGTGATGACTTCCTGGTCGTTTTCAGCGACTACGACCTCACTTGGAAGGACTTCAGCCATGAGGTACAGAATCTTTTTGAATCCTTCCCAGACTTTCATTTTGACTACCGAATGATCGAGGAGAGGGACGATGTTGTCATTGTGCACGACCTTATTTCCAGTGGACACCATACTTGCAAGCCATACGCCTTTGGCCCTTGCGATCCTATTGAGGCCAGTGGCAGGCTTGTAAAGAACGATCCTGAAACGGTTGTATGCTTCTTCGACAAGGATGGCAAGTGTTGCAAGCATGAAGTGATTGCAAGTGGAGAGATGACTGGCCCCGCTGGTATCTACACACAATTGGGGGGATTCCCACTGATGTAATGTACTTCCAGATTGTTCAAGTTGGGTCTTTCATTCTCTGCAGCTGTGAGCTACCAGTACCGTACCGGTACGGTACCGGAGGGGCCGAAAGATAGTTGAGTCGTCGATTACTCGGGACTCACTGCGATCTTTCAGGAAGCGAACCAAAGCACCAAAGATGGCAAGATTGCTGTCAAGCGTCAACTGTCATCTCCTCTTTTCCTCTGTCATCATATTCTGTATCTTCTAGCATCATCTTCTAAGAAAGCTATCAAATAATAACATCATGCGCTTTATCAATATGAGTATTCTTTCCGCCCGTATACTGCTTCTGCCACTGCTAGCTATCCAATGGGCGAAGGTTGACGCATTCAGCAAGAGCCCCGTTCCATTTCGATACAAAAGATACCACCTAACAGTTTGCAGTGCCACATCTCGTCGAAAAGTTCTGGGAAGTGGCGGTGGATTCTTCTTGGGATCCTTACTCGGAGACAAGAAAGAAGAACAAGTCGCCAATGCCGCTGAGGTATCTGGTGGGGACGATTTGCTAGCAGATTTGCCCATGATCCGGCTTCGTCTCCCCAAAGCTGCCGTGGGCCGCGAATACGTGGCCTTGCAGCTAAAGATCCAGGGGAAAGGCCCCTTTGACTTTATGGTAGACACTGGTCTGACAACCGAAATGATCACGCCTCATTTGGTGCAAGCCCTGGGAATAAACGAGAGCGGAGACAAAATTCGTGGATTGGGAGCTGGTGGCTCTACTTTTAGCTCCTTAGTGCCGCTCAAAGGAGCCTCCTTGTGCTGTGGGAACTTTGGTAACCAGGGTCAAACTGAACTACCCCTTCCTGAATTGCATGCCGTTGTCACTGACTTCCCACAAGAACATATCGATCCTTCGCACGATCCAGTGGAAGGAATGCTTGGCCAGGAAGCACTTTCATTGTTTGATCTCGATTTGGATTTCCCGGCTGGCCGAATCCGACTCTGGAAGCCCGGAACAGCCGGAAAACAGGCTGCTGTCAAGAATGGATTGGTTGAAATACCTGCCGTTGTCATTAACGAGTCTGGTCTCTATGGAATCCGCGTCAATGCACCTGGAAGCAAACAGCCAGTGCTCGGTTTTATAGATTGTGGCGCTACCTTTTCTGCTCTAAATTGGGCTGCTGCAGGATACTTGGGTCTTCCTTCCAAGGGAGATGCCAAGGCATACGCCAATTCGCCCGCCATTCAGGCCATTGGGATTGATGGCAAACCACTGCTGTTAGCCACACGAAAGACCCAGCTGACATTTGCAGGAAACACTGAACAAGATGCGTCCACGGGTGGCCTCAGCTTTCAAGCTCCTCCAAGCAAGTGGAAACCCTGGGATCCTGTTCAGATTGCGATTGGTGACCTCCCTGTGTTCCGAGAGGTACTAGGAGACGGTGTAAGGCAGTATGAGGGGCCTGCATGCTTGGTAGGTTTGGATATCTTGGCACAACGTAGAGTTATTCTTGAGACGGGAGGAACCCGACGTCGGCGCATCTGGGTTAGTCCCCAATAGAAAGCAACAGGTTGGGTAAGCATAGAGAACCAAAGCACGTGAAGAATCCCTTGTATCTATCAACGTACCTCCACCAGATACCAGATAAGAAAACCAGTCTCTTTGTGTGGCTTCCCTTCATAGACTCGGCTCGGCATGGGTGGAAAAGTATATTCTCAAAAGCATGGACTGTGCTGGAAGCAATCAACGAATAGGTTCCTTGTGGAAGAAATTAGAATTGCTTTGTGAGCTTGTTTTGCTAGCGTCACTCTGCCCTGCTCTTTTCCAATCTTTCAAAGAGAAACCCAGGGACAGGTTGTTACTTGGGGCGCTACTGAGTTGGCGTCAGTTCCGTGTAGAATTCCTGCCATCCCTTTCATAGTCTTTTGAAAGACAAGGCTGCATTGGTCAAGTTCCATAGCTTGTCAAGCTCTCAGGCGGCGATCAGGGCATCAATTGAAAGGGTGGTGAGCAGTGCCCAGGTTGATGGGTTACATGCAATGTTGTGTTTGGATAGATCTTATTACTTCCAGGAGTGACCCGCGCGCTGGCAGATCTTTTGTTGTTGGAGGGTTTGGGTCCCTTTTGCAGTCTTTCTTTGGTACCACTACAGTGAAGAAGGTTTAGCTCTGCGAGCCAAAGCTTTTCAAGTTGGGCTTTCAAGCCGTTCGAGCCAAGGCACAGCAAAAAGAGGGACCAAGGCAGCAAGTTAAATGCTGGCTCCAAACACGCCCTAGCCTCCTCTACATGTTTTCACTCACTGACAGGTGGCCCTTCCAGTGCTTCCCGGATGACCGAACCACTCTTGTCCATTCCTCCCTGCTGGCTTCTCTATTGCCCGTAAGAGGCCACCAAGCCAATCCCTTCTGAATATCGGTACCAGTAGCAGCTGCATGGGGAGGACGGGCTAAGAAGACGGTCCTTGCTTGCGCTCTCGGCTGGGGCTGCTTCCTGGGCGGGGTTCTTTGAACTCGGAGGCTGACCATCATTCTAAAGGCTGCATTTGGCCACTCAAAAACATATGTCCTTGGGAGCGATAGAAGGATGAAGAAAAGATACTGCATCCGAGTCAGTCTCTTGCACAAAGCACAAATCTAGCACCACTCTTTAGATCCAAAATTGAGATGTCGACAATGCCTTACCAGCTAGCTACATTACCAGGTGCTTGAAACTTCATTCATTCAACTGCTTCAGCGAACTGACGGGATGTCAGACCAACTTGAGCTTGTTCAGCTTGGCAACCGACCGAGGCAGTACAACCTGTACTACATTTAGTGCTATCTGCTACTCATCTAGTGCTATCTGCTACTCATCTCAGTAGCTAGAGCTATATTTAGAAGCTGCCCTTTGAGCTTTGCGAAGGCTGCTCGCAAACATTGTGCTTGTGACTGTACTCGTACCGGTACCGGTCGTCCAGCGCGAAGAAAGCTTCGTTTCGTCGTTGATCTGTGATTTCAAAGTGGGAGGAGGGGCTGTTCAGTGCTAGAAGTTCAAAAGCCTGATTCATAGGCCTTGGATACCTCAAAAAGAAAGCCAATAAATCCTGGATTGTGGCATGCTGAACATGAGAATGCTCATGAGAACATCCTTGAACTACTTCACTGAGACACTTTAGTCGTAAGGGCATTATCATTAAACCCAAATGGCAACATATGATTTACAGATGTTACTGGTATGGATGACTTTGTCGACATTCAGAATCATACAGTTAAATGTATCCATCAAGAGACATTGTCAAAGCAAGAATGATAGTACTGGATACAAGCCATTATTTAACAGTCATCCATTCTTCAGTCCAGCAAACCGGTACAAGAAGCATCTAGAAGGCTCACTTTCACTCATGAAAGCTGTCGTGAAGCACAGCAAGTGTTTGCTGAATGTTGGTAGGTCTTGGCTGGGTCCAGACATACACGAGGCATCGAGGCATCATCAAACCGCAGGAAGAAAAGAAGCAAGAACAGGACTCGCAATCGAGCCTGGGGCTTGGGCTGAGCCATGTCTGCAATTCTCGTACTCGAGTACCAATTTCAACCAAACTATTACAAAACGGTATTACCATCCACAGCCTGAAAGATTGAATCATTCGATGCCAGGTCGATCAGCGAAATCACTCTCCTGAAAGGCTCACAAATCAGAAAATCCAAAAGAGGAACAGCAAGAACCATCAGTAACATCTCACCAAAAATCACAATGAGCTCTCCTCTCCACGCTTTCATGTCAGAGCTCCGCGGCGCCTCCACCTCGATCGAAGTTGTGTCGGACAACGCAACGGCACCAGCCAACACCATGTCTCAAGAACGCCAAGAATGCAGCCATGACCTTCCTTCCAAGCCCATCAGACCCCACCGCATTGCCGCCAAAGGGATCTCATTTCTGGCTTCGAATCTGCCAGCCGAGCTACGGCCTGTCATGAAACCGATTGCCGGCACGGCGATGGACACAGCCAAGACCAGCAAACTGCAGCAAATGACACGCATTCTGTCCAACAGCAACATCGCTGCTGTTGATGAAGAAGAAGAGTGCTCCGAGAAATGTGAAGAATCCATCAAGTCTCCGTCTGTCTCGTCGCCAAAGAAGGAAGGCTCTCGAAGATCCACCCGAAAAGCCGCTTTGCGTGACAGCAACCATGTCCGACGACACTCACAACGAAAGGGGACAAGCAAGCGAGTGACGACTGCATATGCAGCGTAGAAAAGAATGTACTTGCCTTGCTTCCTCCTCATTACATACATACATGATTCATAATTGGTAACTTATACTAATACATAACAGTACATGCATGTCACTATACCGATACATCGTAGCTACAGACATATCTAGTGGCACCATTGTCCGCATGCACAGGCGAGCTGCTCAGGCCAGCAAAGATACAACCGCACCGCTTGGGCCACAGCAAGCCAAAGGATCAGTCCTGTTCGCCTTGCTCGTTCTGGTCTCCGGTAGCTATCGGTACAGGTAGCAGCTAGACTGGGTCCAACAAAGGACTCGAAAGGAATCCAAACCAACGCAAAGAGAAGCACTAGATCTAGTTATTAGCTGGCCTAAAGGTGGCACTAGCTAGAGTATGAAGTATTGCTTCTTGTCAGTCCTGTCTCCACTATGAACCGACGGCAAACAAGTTTGTCCTTTCGCGTGTATTCGAGTTCCGAAGCGAACTAAAGAAGGCGAACTCTGTCGACATGAGGTGAATAAGGTTCGGATGGCTGATCGCTGCTGTAGTACATGTAGCATCCTTCAGCTGTCTGTACAAGTACAATGGCACTGGTGCCATCGTGACAGTTACCAACAACGCATGAAGGTCGCTGGCTGGATTGCGCTACCAGACTGTGTCATACCTCTCTCTACTACCTGTACCATAAACACTTGACATGAGAACAGGATCACGGGAAACGCAATCTTTTTCCAAGCTATGGGAAACCATTCTTCTACTTGCTCCTAAGCTTACTACAACTACTCCATGACGGGTCCTGCTTGCTGGTAGAGTCTTCAAATCAGTTCTTCCAACAAAGAGAAGTGCTGCTTCTACTGGTACCTTGCGGTTGCCTCTTTTTTACATGTAATGACTCTGGTGAACATGCATCTCTCTCCGCGCCACACTCGGTGTATGATATTACTGGTATGAATCCTCGTCTACACCTAGCTACCGGTAGCTAGCTCGAGACTGCAATAGAAACCACCATCAGTCAGCATAATGTAGGAGAAAGCCACATGGCAGACTGCCTGACTAATAATGAGCCCCAGGACTTGGACTTCCCACTGCCGATGCCGGAGTGCTGCTTCCAGATCTTGAAGGGGCTCGGACTTGGTTCCAGAATCGAGTGCGTGCCGGTGGGTCCGTTCCGCTGCCATATGCAACATCGCCTACAACTGCTTGGGGCGGTGGTTGACCATTTGTCGCTGCTGCAGCGGCACCAATGGGATCAGGGGCTTCTTTTTGAGCAATGCGACGAAGAGACTCTACTTGAGCTTCTTCCGCAGCTTCCAGGGCGTCCAATCTGATAGTTATTACCAAATAAGTGATTGCAACGTAATGGTGAGGAGAGTTGGAGGAAGGTGAAGAAAAATGACACAGAAACGGCCCACACCACCGTGAACAAACCAACAAACGAACGGAGATGGAAATTTCTCCAAGAGTTAAAAAATCATAGCACTCACAACGACTCTGTCTCTGCTCGTGGCTTTGGAAACCATTGTGGCTCGACCACCTGATGAAGCAAATGCTCCGGATAGGAAAAGGACTTCACCATTTTTGGCGGATTTGGTTGTCTCTCCGTTTTTGCTGTGGCTACGCTTTTTGTTTTCAATTGGCCCTAACCCTTCTTAAAAGAAGCTAGCCTAAACCCTAAACTGCGCACCACGTCATTGGCAGCAGTGAGGCGGCCAACGACAGCTAGTCTAGACAGGGTGAAAAAACACGAGAGGCGAGAGGCGAAAGATCCTGAGTCGAAGGCTGTGTGTTGACAGTCTCCACACACATCGACCTCCTCATCAGCCTCTGACTGTTTCGTGTTGTTGAGACAGCCTTGTCTCAGGCTCTAGTTGGAAGAGTCAAAAAATCCGGAGACGGAACCCTCAAAGCTAGCTAGCAAAACTTTCCCCGGCATTTTTTTAACAGACCAAGATCGACCATGGCGATGCCAAAGATTATCGTGGCTGTCCTAGCTCTGGCAGCCGTATCCCAAGCTTTTCTGCCACACCGCCAAGTGGTTCAAAGAACGCAAAGTAGTCCACGATCCTTGAAAATAATGGCATCGGCCACCACGACAGAGCTCGAATCCTCCGTTTCCGATCTGAAGAGAGTTTTGGAACGAGAGTACATTAGCTTTTTCGATCCCATGGAACGAGACTACTACTCTCCCACGGTCAGTTTTGAAGATCCCATGACAGCTCTAGCGGGAGTGGATGCCTATCAAAACAATGTCGACATGTTGGCTTCGAGAACGCTCATGGGCAAGTTACTGTTTCAAGATGCCGGAATCGTCCTGCATTCCGTGGAAGGAGGGGAAATTTCCCAAGGAACCAAAATTGACGATATCATTACCCGATGGACCCTGCGAGTGACGGCCAAAGTGCTGCCCTGGAGTCCCACGGCCCGGTTCAGTGGAGTCTCCGTCTATCAAGTCGTACCGGGTGGTCCCAAGGGGGTCATGGTGGAGCATCAAACCGACTATTGGGATTCCATCAATATCCAACCAGGTACCACAGGAGACTACCAAAAAGTCGACAAGAGCGTTGCCGTGAAAGATTTCCTCAATCAGCTCAAACCGGAAAATGCCATTGCTCCTCCATCGGCCCCGGAACTACCCTATCAACTGTTGCGAAGAGGGAATGGCTATGAAGTGAGACAGTATCCGAGCTATTCCAGTGTCAAAATGTCATATGAACGACGTGATTTGGCATTTGAAGCTATGGGATCGTTTACCCGTGGTACGTCTTGTCTAGTGTGCGATGTGGTGTATGGGTTTGGAACTTGCCTTTTTGGCTTAACCGCGTGGCTCTGTTTGTCTTTGTAGGAATGACGGCACTGGCACCCGCCATCATGTCTGTGGAGGATGACTCTTCCAAATCCATGACTTGGCCTTTGGAATATGCGCCTCCTGGCCAAAGCAGTCCGCCAGAAGTTACAAAGGCCGTGGAGAGAGCAGAGGACCCGCGCTTTCAAGCCATGAACTGTCAAGTAGAAACGTTCCCCAGTCAAGTCATTGCTGTAGGATCGTTCTCCGATGCCATTTTGGAACCCGTGGTACGAAAAGCCGATCGGCTGTTACGAGAAGCTCTCGACCGAGATGGCCTTCGGGTAGAGCCAGGCACGGATTCAAGGGTCACGTTTGCCCAATATGATGCGGTCTACAGTATGGGGAAGAGGCGTGGTGAGGTGTGGATTCCTCTCAAGGATGGCGGACATCCTTGGTAAATTTTTTAGAAAGTTCATATTCCAATGTTTATGTACGGCTTTTGTGATGGCTACTGGTCTATTGATGCGAGCTCACCTTCCTGTGGCTCACCTGCAATCGTATTTGGTCAAGCCAAAAGGCTAACCGCACTTACTTGTTCGTAACATCCTTTGCATCCCGACTCTTACTGATGTTCTTGCATGGCATCAGCATCACTCATGATTTTCGAAACCATGCGAATTGGACAGAGAAACAAACAGACACCAGAAGGCCGCTTTTAGATGTGGAAGTGGCTACTGGTACCGTAGGTTACTATGCATATCGAGGAGACATCGCTTGTCCGCAAAAGTGTGTGGTTCGTTCTACACAAAACCAGACTACCCAACGGTATCGAAGCAATTCACCTATGCAAACTCGTCAGAAGATTCAGAAAGGTCGTCACGCTCTCCAAGCAGCGTTGGTCCTTGAATCGTCTTTCCACTCTTGCCTCCAAAGACAGATGTACGAAACTTTCGATCCTTCTTAGTTGCGTCATGTTCCGAAGATGCACCATGCTGAGAGGACCCTGATAGACCATCCAAAACTTTCACAGCAGCAGCACTAATGGATGAATTCAACACGTTTGAAAAAGCCATTGCTGCCCTTCCCGCTGCTGATCCAGCATGATGTGAAAGTGATTTGTTGGGTTTGCTTTCATTTTTGTTTGAGCCAGGGTGCCATGTGCTGGCATCCAACCCATCCTGTCCCTCGAAATCACCAAAGTGAGCTGAAAATTGGTTCGAATCCTCTTCTGTTTCATCTTCCAACTGGGCTTGAACCTGCAAACCTCTCATTATCTGGTTCCGTTGAATATCGGCTGGGTTCCTACGACGTGGACCCTCCCGAGTCGGGCTTCGCCGGAGCGATCGAGAGGGGCTGTCATCGGCGGCATCTCGGTCACCCTTGTCTCGTCTAGAGTGGCCTCGAGCCATTCGTTTGGGGGAGACCGAGCGGCCTTGACTTCGCGAAATGTGACCACCAGAAGAGGACCTTTTCATGTCACCGCTAGATTGGGACCTTTTCATGTCGCCGCCAGAAGGGGACCTTCGCATACCGGTACTGGTACTATCGGAGGTGCCATCGGATTTGTCCGAAATGTTCCTTTGGGGTGGGCGGCAAATTCGATGCGGCGACAGGGAACGCCCTTTGTGGCTGGAAGCTGCCTTCAAAAGGCCTCGTCTAGGCATGGATGAAGAAGTCAAAACTCCATGGTCGCTACCGGAAGGCAGTCGCCTGGATGATGTTGATCTGTGACTGCGATCTCTGCTCGATTTCAGGGATATGGTACGACCGGGAGTGCGTCGTACGGCTTTTTCTCCCTCTTCCGAAACTTTGTGCGAAACAACTTCCCTGCTGGTGGCTCCCCGCGTCGGAGACATCGAGCGCTTGCTATGATCTCTGCTGAACTTCAAAGACCTTCCTGGAGAGCCGCTGACTTTTTCTTCTCGGCTCTTTCCGCAGTCTGCTTTTTTGTGTCCCTCCGGGTGGTCATGCTTGGACTGTGCCATTTCATGATCGATTGCCTTTGCACCTTTCCTATGAGTCTTTTCATCGCTGGATTTTTGCGAATTTGAGCGACTTGGTGTATTCCGCTCCCATTTCATCGTGATGGTGAAATCTTCTGCTGTTTCTGGGGATGAAGCCCTGGTCGAAACTGGTCTCTCCGATTTTGACAAAGAGTTTCTAGCCTTGGATGGAGAGGAATGCCTGGAAGGAGAGCGCCTTTCTGATTTTGACATCGGATCGCTATGTCTAGTCGGGGATGCATCCCTTGCAGGTCGCCTCTCCGATTTGGACATTGATTCTCTAGCTCTGGCTGGAGATGGAGCCCTCGCGGTAGATCGTTTCGACCTGCCTTTGCTGTGGCTAGACCTCTTTTTCACTGTGTCATCTTCTAAAAGATCACCTTCAGAATCATCCAATTCCGTTTCAGAGGACACGTGTTTTTTGGCATGGTCGCTACCAGTGCGCCTGGGAGACCTGGATCTCTCACCATGGTTGCTCCGAGACGTGGGTTTTGAGCTTAGGTGCCTGTCTGAACCCGACTTGCCATGGCCATGACCAGACCTCTTTTTCCTTATTTCATCATTGCCGCGGCTAGACCTCTTTCTCATTGTTTCATCCTTGCCGTGGCTCGATCTTTTTCTCATTGTTTCATCCACGGACAGATCACCTCCCGATTTTTCGAATTCCGCGTCAGAGGACACACGTTTCGTGGCTTGGTCGTTTTCAGTGCGCCTGGGCTTTGAGTGCCTGTCTCCTCCACTGTGCCTGTCTTCTTTGCTGGTCCTTCTCTTTAGCTCGTGCTCACCATGACCATGTTTATCTGCTCGCCTGCTATGTTCACGCCCCTTGCTGCACCGTTTCTTTGGTGCCTCTGGCTCGTCACTATCGCTACAATCATCTTGTTCAGATGATTTCGGTATTCTGGTAGAGTCATCCCTGTGTCTCGGAGATACCGCTGCTCTGCTGCTGGCAGCGCGGTGCCCCATCGGCCGGGGGGAAACACCCCGTCTGCTGCCTTTTGTCAGTGGCTGGTTGTCTTCCTCTTTGTGTTCCTTTTCATGTGGCAATTTGTCGCCATGGTCAGTGCGTCTACTCCAAGAAGTGCTATGCCTTTCTGATTGAGCCATGCTAGACCCTTTCTTCTGAATGTGGCACTTTTCACCGGGAGCACTAGCCACACTTTGACTAGAAGTTGCCGCTCTGTTTTGTGGATTGTTGCTGGATTCGGCAACATCCTTGCCCAGCCTTGATAGGTCTTTGGGATCCCTTCGATGTCTTGGGGAAGCATCAGGGGATAGGGATATAGATCGTTTCAGACCCAATCGTTGCCCGGGTCCATGTTCACCCCCTGATGTTGCTTTTTGACGAAGAGGATGCCCAGCCGGCGATGTTGATTCTACAAATTCCTTTTCTAGCTCTGACAGGTCTTTGGGTTCCCTTCGATGTCTTGGGGAAGCATCAGGGGATAGGGATATAGATCGTTTCAGACCCAATCGTTGGCCGGGTCGATGTTCACCCCCTGATGTTGCTGTTTGACGAAGAGGATGTCCAGCCGGTGATGTTGATTCTAAAATTTCCTTTTCTAGCTCTGACAGGTCTTTGGGTTCCCTTCGATGTCTTGGGGCAGGACCAGGGGATAGAGATGTAGTTCGTTTCAGACCTAAACCCAATCGTTGCCTGGGTCGTTCACCCCCTGAAGTTGCTGTTCGACGAAGGGGATTTCCAGCCGGCGATAGGCCTCGGTCTCCACCTCTTGCAGCCACACGCTCAGACCGAGGTGTACGCTGCCGAGAGACACCACGAACGGGTGGAATTTCGGTGTCGGCATTCTCCTCATCGGGAGCAACATCGGGGGACTTTTTCTCCTTCTCCTCCTCTTTGGACACAGTCGACTTCAAGTGCCTGCGAGCACGGCTAGGCCCTGCATCAGTCTGACATCTTCTAAATCCTGAAGGTTTCGCAGGTTCATCCGGTGTCTTTGCTTCCTCGAAAGGGGTAGCAACTGGGTCATTATCTGGTTTGCCAATATTATCCAACAGTCCTGGACGGGTAGCCTGCTCTCCAAATCCAGCAGTAAAATCGTCATCTCCAAAGTTGGTCCAACTTTGGGTCAGTTTTGGTTCTTCCTCTCTTCCTCTTCCTTCTCTTTATCCTCCTCCTCAGCTTCAATCCTGACTGAGATATCGAATGGATCTCTATCGAATTTGTCTTGGTCTGGAAAGAGGTTGCTATTGTTAAAATCAAACAAGCTGGTACCTCCCTCAAAGTCAAAGTCAGGCTGATCCTGAGAAGATTTCGATGGCAGGACGTCTGTACCCGTGGTCATGACGGTGCTGCGTGCTCAAGGTACCAGTGGTACCGGTGTCAGTTGGCTGCTGCCGAATAGTGCCGTTTGCCTGAGAGATAATGAGGAGATGACCATGCAACATGCAACCCAACAACATGGAGAGATACCAAAAGAGCCCAATAGTTAGATACTGGGTGGTGTACCTGGTGTAGACATGTATTACGATGTCATGTGAGAACTACGTGTGCCCCTTTGAAGTTACTTTGTGCCTGGGAGGAGGAGAAATCAAACAGAGGTAAACCATGACAGGCATAGTGGTGGACAGTTATTGACAGCGGTAAAACCGGACTCTGCAATGGCACTGCAGTGGCATTTCAATGTTAATGGCAGTGGTAGATGGTAGACAGTATCCGAATTTTCAATGGTGAAAGAGACCACTTCTTCGCGAAACAGTGTTTTCCTCACAGTGGCATTGATTTTCTCCATTCTCCATCCCCCAACCAATCCTCGAACAGCCCCAGTGTCCCAGCAGAAACAAGGAAGAATGATCAATCGCTGTCACACGACATGGCGACGTTCGGGACTTCCCACCGCGTAGCCTGCCTCCCCTTTTAGAAAATAAAGCTTGCCAGCCAGAGCTAGCGGAGGCTACCTGGTAGTACATGTAGAAGAGTAGGAAATACTCTAGCTAGTACAGTACGTAGCTTGGATATGTAGCACCTGGAAAGACTTTAGAATGATGGGTCAAGCCACAACCAGCACTCATCGCTCGGGACTTCCCACCACGTAGCTGCCTCCCCATATAAAAAATAAAGCTTGCCAGCCGGAGCTACGGTATGCATAGCGGTAGCTACCTGGTAGTAGAAGAGTAGGAAATACTCTAGCTAGTACGTAGCTTGGTTATGTAGCCTGGAAAGACTTTAGAATGATGGGTCAAGCCACAACCAGCACTCATCGCTCTGAGCAGGGCTTGAGAAATCCAGTGCCAATGATGGCCAATCAGCAGTGCCACCGGGACAGTGTTGCTTTGGCACTGCACGTGGTTGGTACCAGTACCAGTAGTGTTGAGCTCGTCAAAACAGTGATAAGCGTTTATTTTTGGCATGGATTGGCACTGGATTTCTCCTCCCCCAGCCAACCAAAGGAATAGCGTATGACAATGGTGCCTCTTCGCAATAATATAATATGCACACCCATTCCACACTGGCTGCAAGGTTCAGCATTTCTGTCCCAACAGCTCTGGGTTGGTGCACTACTCGGTAGCTAGATAGCACAACATCCCATAGTCCTGTGTACCTTAGTTGCACGGAGTTAGCTATTAGCTAGATTGTCTTAGCCCAGTGTTGTTACGTAGCCTTCTATGGAACCAGCAACTGGTGCAGTAGCTGGCTGAGCTGCTGGATGCATGGGTGTGTGGACGGCTGAGGTGGTGGTGAGTCGAGTCGAGTGACAGTCTCGTCAAGGTTAAGGATGGCTCGAGCCCTAATGCAAGGTCATCTGGGTCATTGCCTCCCCGTGTCCAGAGACTGATGAGACTCTTCCAGCGCAACTGCCCCCTCTTTTACTCTTTACCCCAAAAGCAGGACAACCGACAAAGCAGCAGCAAGAAGAAGGAGGTATCGGAGTGGGTAGCGCACCCGGAGAGGTATTGTACCTGGAGTGGATAATCAGCAGTATTCCACCTTGGCGGGCCCTCAGTTTGTTTGGTTGCGGACGGAGAGAGTTTGGTGCTCAGAGCGGGGTTCATTATTTGCCCTCGACTTGGGTAACCCGTGTCCCAGACGTCCCACTGACCTTTCCCTAGCAAGCTTAAGCTCAGCCACCCGTGGGATCAAGATAAGACCACCATTATCCACTGCCGTGTTGTCTATATGGATGTTGTGGAATTCGATCAACCAATCAAGTTTTCATCAGAGGAGCAATCAGACTTGTTCAGCACTGCCACTGCCAGCACGTGCACTGCCGTCAACACCAGTACCGATACCCATCAACAACCCTCACAGGCAGAACTACTCTTATTATCTCAAGAAACATCATCCAGTTCCTTTGTCGAATCGGAATGGGATCCAATCGAGTTTGATCTTTTGAAATCAAGCAATCCAAAGTGGAAGAGCGCGAGGAACACGCAACAACAACAGCTCAAGAAGAAAAGTCCCAAACGCATTCAGGACATTCGCTTAGCCCGGTTGGACAGTGGGGAAAGCAGCAGCAGCCATAGTAGTCCTAATAGTGCGGCTGCTTCCGACGACTTTTGGCCTTACGACGACGCACCGGGGAGCCCCTGTGCTCTGTTTGGCAAGAATACCAGTAGTCCAGCCGACGGATTCAAAGGGGAATTCAGCAGTTATTTCCCAGAGTGGGAAGATAGTAATTCTACAACCATGGAGGAACCACACAACTCTACTAGTAGAAGACAGAGGAGCAGCCGAGAAAAATCATCACGGGATGCATCCTCCAGTGATAAGAGGAGAAGAGAAAGGCGGAAACAGCAACAACAAGAGCAACCACAACATGACGAGGAAGAAGAGGGAGACGGTGATGATCAGTCAGTTGGCAGCTATGAACTAGACGCAAGCGAAAGTGCAAGCGAGGGAGAAGAAGTGGAAGAGGACGAAGAGGGGGAATTCAGTGATGAAAGTGAAAGAAGCATCACACAGTCTTCCAATTATGACGATGACAATTTAATGGTCACCCCGGCCGTGGGAAAGGTGCGGGAATCAAGGAAAAAGCCACCCACCCTGAAGCGAGGAGCCCATGGGGTTGCGACTCCCTCAGTCGTCAAAGCAATGAAAGATAAGCAAGCGTTCACATCAGATGATGAAGGTGACAACGCTGGCATTGATTTTGATGCCGAATTCGACTCGGACATGGAGAGTGTGGGATCTGGACAATCCTCTCGATCAAAGAGCAGCAGAGATAATGGATCCAGGTCAAAACGAGACGGAAGATTAGAAGCGGCAAATGCATCGTTTCGGCGGTCCTCCGTGAGTAAGAGGAAAGAAAAGTTCGCTTTCGACCGATCCATGAGCTCGGCCGATTTGAAAGCTGCGAGAAAAGCCAACAATAGCTTCAAAGGTCATGCTGACATGAACAAATCCTTCAGCGCCATGGACAACAAACGAAGAATGAACCGAACCAAGAGTCGGAGTGAAGGGAGGATGCAACAATCGTTTAGTGGTTCGTCGTCTGGAAGGAAAAGCTCGTCATCACAGAGAGAAAAGTCACCTCCTCCTGCGGAAAGTAGATCTAGTAGAAAATCTCTCCCCACTCGCGCCAAAAGCATGGGGCATCCTGCTGGGGGAGGAAGCAAGCTCAAGTCGGCCTTGGCAAAGTTCTCGGGAGCTGCCGATGAACCAACTAGCAACACGAACGCAACAGGGAAGAAATCGTCGACCCTGTCGGCATTAAAGGCGTTGTCGGGTGGAGATGGACCTGCTGCTGGCTCTGGCGGAGACAATGAGACGGATTTAAAGAATGCAATCATGCGGCAAGTTTACCAGAGCTCGTCGGGCTTGAAACCTATCGAGCTGAAGAGGAAACCAAAGCCAAAGATTACAAAGACAACGAGTCTCACAGGAACCACTTTAACGAGGGCTGCTGCTGCCAGTGGCGAGATATTTCCATCGAAGGAAAGTTCTTCCAAATCGAGTGCTCCCACTCAGAGAGTAAGGAGATCCAAAACATCCAGTGAACGAAACTTGTCTTCCATTTCCGACTTCAATGCCTCGTATCACGAGAATATCGCCAAAATGCGAAAACAGAAAATGGTGGATGCCAGTGAACGGTCCGCAATTTCGCAAGGCTCGAGCAAATCGGAGCCCAAGGAACAGGAACAACCCACGAAAGAAAAAGAACGACCACATAACCTCGACCGGCGTGTGAAGAGCTTTTCTCATTCTCGATCAGGAGCTTCCATGTCTGCTTCTGCTCGAGACGACGACGACAATTCGTCGGGGCCTAGTCCCGGCGGTAGCAAACAAAGGGTTCGAGGAGGGAGCTCAAAGCGAGACGTTGACAATGAAGACTCGTCGAGTCGAAGGAATCTGTCCAAGTCCGGGTCAAGTCGACGACTGCAACAACAAAAGGACCGAGTTTACGACGCCAGCTTCCAACCTCCAACTGGCACGAATGTGATTGCTCTGCTCCGAGATCAGGAACCGGTGACAGACAACGAGTTGATGCAGAAAGGAAACCGACAATTGTTTCACGCCCTCATGTACAAGACGAGAATGGGCATTGATATGGAACGGTTACAACGGAAGGTGAATGGAGAAGAGGACAGTGAGGATGAAAAGGACGACAACAAGCACCAAACCGAATATGATGACGAAGAGGACTATGCAACCGAATCTGGCGAGGAATAGATAGAACCAAGCACTGTTTTTTGAAGATTCCTCCCCGCAGCGCCCGACTGGCAGCTGGTTCGACGACGGAATGCAAATAAATGGTCGCAAGACCATGATGGCCCGGTGAAACATCTCCAGGGTCAGACACCACAGAACTGAACAGATGGGAGTCCTGAAGAATGGTTGAAGTTCCGTTACGATACAGTGTTGCGGGGCCCGCTTCATGGCACTGCCTGACACTGTCACGATAAGTTTTCACGTACTTGGGTTGTGTCAGTCCAGGTCGCTTGTGTTCTCGTTTGCGGGACATATTCTGCTTTGGACTCGGCTCTGTGACGGTGGGCGGAAAAGTAGCATTGCTGTTTGACTAATACTGTAGAATAGAAGAAAGAAGAAGTGGAAACTGCTGCTGTAATGTAGCTGTGCCATCGTGGTTGTTGACATGAAAGGAAAAGTAACACTGCGTTGGTAGGACCCCCCACTGTTCTGTGGCCGCGTCTTCCTGGTGATACCACACTCAAGTACTAGTACGGTACATGTACGGTAGGTTAACCAATATTGAAACGAAGTCAGATGGACATTCTGTACACCTCTAGCTAGCTAGGTATGAGAAGAGGCACTGAAAGCGTCAGCAGCAACAACCAGCCTACGATGTATCCTATTGCAGCAAACAGCCAAAAGAAGACAAAAACCTACCTTTCCAGTACACGTACATGTACATGTATCTTGCTATCAACCTACAACTCCCACGCAGGATTTTGAATGGTCGCGTCAAGTTTTGTTCACTCCTGCTTTGGACACTGATGAGTGATAAGATGCAGTCATTCAACGGCTTTATGACTGCTGGCAGGATTTGAAGATTTATGTGAGACTCAATTGTGACCCATGTGGTGTGTAGGGAAGTCGGACGCAGTTGCTTTGCACATGGTGTGGCAACCCTGTGCTGACAGTTTAGGAAACCCCTCAAGACAATCAAAAGTCGATCAAGAAGCACAATCTCCTGGATAATACTCATTGCTGGCCATTATCTCCTCTCATCTGCAGGTATCTGTATGGAAGGTTCTATTAGGAGGTCTAGATACCCCACAAGCAAAGGTAGCTTCTAGCTCGATATTATTCATTCGGTAGTCTACCCTTCAACTTCCATACTATCAGACCGGTCCAATCATTATATCATCAGAAGCACCATGGCGGATGTATTGGTGCGAACTCGGAACGGTGTCGAGCGAACCAAGAGTGGTGAAGGCAGCCATCACAATAACGGCACTGGTGGTAAGGCTACTGCCAAGAAACGAGTGGGTAGCAGTCATGGTGTGGAAAAGCCGGGGGGAGAAAAAGTCGTCAAGAAGAAGGGTGGGAAGCTGAAACGCCAAATGAGCAAGGATGGAACGGTGGCTTCGACCGTCAGTGGCAGCAGCAGTGTACAACAATCCTCCAAGCACGGCACTAGTACTACTGGTGGGAAACGAAGAACCTCTTCCAAGAACGGCGCTGCCACGAGACTGGCCGGTAGTGATCAAGGCGATGCTACCACTACTACAACCGCCAAGACCAAAAAGGTCAAACCCAAAAAGAAACTCGCCAGTCGAGCCAAGAGTTTTGATGGATGTAGTGTGAGCACGGCTGGTACCGGTATCCATGGCGCTGCTGCCAATACTGCCAATAGTGCAATTCCCAAACAAGCAGAGGGGAGACGACCCCCTCCACCACTCCGCAAACAGAAATCTGCCTCGGCTCTCCTGTCCATGGACACGAAGAGTGATCACGGCGGTCGAGCACCGTACAGCAAATTCAAGCATCAAAACAATCTAGATCAACTCCAGAAGAGCATGCCGGATCTGAGCTTTGAAACCCCCAAACAACAAATTGCGCATGACTTGTTCGGCAGACGACACGAAAACGACAACCGAACCGAAGAGCAACAAAAGCAAGAAATGGTAGCTGCCTTGTCCATCACAAACTCGGGAGATAGTAGTAAGGACCAGCATCAGCATCATGGATCCTGTAACGACAATAATAATCTTACCGATTCCAGCGATGCGCACATGACAAAGTCAGCACCCGACACAACGATCATGACGGAACGAAAGACACGTCGTGTATCCTCCAACAAAAAGAAAAAGGACTCGAGATTACGAGGACGTGTCAAATCCAAAGCACACCAGCATGGAGATGAAGATGCCGTCACCATCACCACGGCCCAGACGGATCCCACCAATCCCTACTTTCACAACAAAATGCCCGCCGCACAGGCGGTCGCCAAAATGGGAGCTTCACAACCCATGTTGGGATCCTCTTCTCACAATAAGAATGATAATACTTCACCCAAACGGGGCAAACGAATCGTCAAAAAGACAAGATCCAGGTCCCGGTCACAATCGCGCTCCAACCACCACCACAACAACAACAAACAAAAGAAGGATCAGGTCAAAAAGGCATCGGTGCGACGGGGATCCGATTTCTCCGCCGAGAGTGGCTCGGAGGATGAAAATGATGTGGGTCCACCCGAAAACAATAACAATCAGTCTTCTTTTATTAAACGATCCGGATCACAATCGTCCCTTCGTGGCAGCAGCGGGCATCGAAAAACAACCGCCAAAACGGCCGCCAAAAATTCTCTTTTGGGAGGATCGTCACATCACGGCGATAATGACGATGCCACATTCGCTTTTGAAGATACCAGTTTATCCGCATCGACGCCGTCACGGAGATGGAAGAAAGGGGGTGCTATGGATCCAGGACCCAAGGCACCGCAACGAGAACGGTCCACGTCCAATCGGGGGGCCAGCTACAAACGAACGACGGCGCCAAGGAATTCACTACTCGGTCAAGACGCCGACGACACGGAAGCAGAAGAGGATGACGACGTGGACAACAATCATGACAGTTATCAACCTCCGTGGAAGACAGTTTCCACCCTTCATGCCAGTGGAACCAACAATGAATCCAGTAGTGTCAACTATCCGGACGATTCCAGCAGTACCGATATCGCGGAGACACTGCTAAAGGTCACTCCGGCCAACAAAAAAGAAGAAGGGTCCAAACGAGGAGGGCGTACACTGGCGAAAAAGAAAGAACAGCCATCCAAGTCTGGTAGTGCGATGCTGGACTCGAGTGAATATGACGACAATAAACGAAAATCGTTGTGTGGGCTCCTTCCGAAAGGTCCGAAACGATCCATGACTGGAGCAAGCAGCGTTGTTAGCGGAACGCTGCCTCCATTGATGGATTCCAGTTTTTCTTCCGTGCAGTCAACGGGGGAAGAGTCGGTCTCGTCGTTTCTCAGTCAAAAGAAACCAGGACTGATTGTAGAAGCAGAAGTCAAAGATGGTGCCATGAAATTCTTTTTGGGGAATCTGACGTCGGCAATGGAAAAACGAATGGAAGCTTCGCAAAGCGACCATGCACAAGATGATGATGATGGCAACAACAATAGCAGCAGCGGTCTACGGGGCAAAAAAGGATTGCATTCATCCGCGCAAAACTCCGGTCTGGGATCAACACTGAAAAAGGGAAATGCTGGCGCCTTTGGCGGCAGGGCAGACGATGAAATGTCGATTCCTAGCCTCATGTCGTTCAGAAAACGAGAAGACGCATCGGTGCCCAGTGTGAATTCCTCTCAGATGAAAGGGCAACCGGATGACGCATCAATGCCCAGCCTTACGTCCATGCCTAGTCTCTCCTCGTATCGCACCCAAGGAACCAACGCCACCGCTGAATCAGATAATATTCCAGACGATTGTTCCATGCCAAGTCTTTCGTCAATGCCAGATGACGGCAAGTCGGTTGCAAGCATACCCGCGCAAAGGCCTCTTGTCAAAGGCAAGCGGGGAGCAAAGCAAGGGGCTGCCGCGGTTTACGGCAAGCGAAACGAAGATAATGATAGTCAGTCCGAAGAAGAAGACGACGACGACGATGAACAGGAAGAGGAAGCATGCAAAGAAGAACCTTCAGAGTACGAGGAATCCATGACTGAATTCGATGAAAACGAAGGCGAACAAACGGAGGGCACAGCAGAAGGCGACGATGGCGAACACGAAATGGTCCACGCAGAAACCGAGGAGGAGGAAGGGGATTCGGAAGAAGAGGAGGAATCGGACGAGGAGGAATCAGCAAGTGAAGAAGAGGAGGAGCCTGAGGTCGTGCAGAGCGCTCCAAAGGGAGGCAAATCCAAGAAGAAAGGAAAGCGGAGTTCCCTCAAAGATCAAGAGCGTCAGCAGCCAGTGAGCTCTTCGGCTTCCGTAGCCTCGGCTTCGGTACAGCAGTTTGTGGTGAAGTCAAAGAAGAAAAAGAAGAAGAAGGAAAAGAATGCTAAGGATGAGCAAGTGCAGCAGTGGCAAGAAGAGTTCCAGCAGGAGCAGCTAGTGCAGCAGCAACAACTCTTGTGGCAACATCAGCAACTCATGCAACAACAGCAAATGCTCCAGCAACAGTACTGGATGCAGAACCAGGGGATGGCCAATGGTGCATTCATGATGAACCAAGATCCTGGGATGAACTACATGGAACATATGATGGGCGCACCTGGCCAAATCATGAGTACTGAGGGGCAAATGGGTGACCAGTCTGTACGTGATTCGATGGGTTTGTCCAGCCACTCTGACCATCAGTCTGTCTTCAGTCAGAAATCCACGAGATCAAAAAAGTCGCCAATAAAGCATTCTCAGAGTCTCGACTACGACTTCTCGTACATGGACAATCCTGAAATGCCAGAGGTGTCAGAGGTTAGTGCTGATGATGTTTTGCAGCCAATGAATCCATCGCAACGGGACGAGGAGTGCCACGACAGCGCTGCACAGCCATTGCGCGGAAAGAAGAAGGAGAAAGAGAAGAAAGTGCCAGCTCTTTCCTTTTCGTCGCGCTTCAAAAAGTCAGTGAAGAAGATCAAGAAGGGTTTTGTCGGTGGAAGCAAGCAAAAATCGACTCTTTTGAATACCGGTTTGAACGACGGACAATTCTTCCCCGATCTCGACGATGATGACGACGAGGAAACTACCATGAGAGGACTGCTATCTGGCTAGCCACTAGCCTGCAAGCTAATTCTAAGGTTTTTAAGACTGGTTGGGTCTGACTTCCCGTATTCATGGAGTTTGCATCGGCAACAAAACAGATTATTAGCATTGCGGTACGTCTGCTGTCGCAGCAAGTAAAGCTACTAGCCAGAAACCTCGTTGAGGCGACGAGAAAGGGGCCTCTTGGGGCCGTAGATGTGGTCCTCCGAGTGTGCGCTTGACGCAGTCAATGCTGACCAAGACGACTGCTCCGTCGGACGCTGCTTGGGTCTGCCTGCTTCAAGGGAACCAAGTGAAGCACGGCGCTTATGTTTCTCAAGAGAACTTGCCCTCTTCTTTGTTCGTGATGCTTTTGACTTGTCCATAGCAGCTGAGCCACCATCGGCGCTTTGTTTCCGACGACTAGAATCTCGACTAGAAGAGTCCATACCACCGGTACCACCATCAGCACTTTGTCTCCTCCGACTGGACGCTTTGTGCCCCGTGCTCTTCGACCTGACTTTCTTCTTCTCATTCGCAGTCGAGAGCGTTGACTGTGATTGCGATAGAGGACTCTTCCCAGTCTGACGCGTGCGTGATTGAGATTTATTTTGCGATTTGCTTCTGTCGAGGTCCTTGCGTGACTCCAAGCGTCCTTGCGACGCCGAAGGTATTTGAGACGTACTCGAGCGTCGGCTGCTTGGCCTGGAGCTAGTATTTTTGGCATCGCTTGTGGACTTCCGCTTCACCTTCCTATCCGAGTTGGACAGCCTAGAGGAAGCCGGAAACCTCTCCGATCTCGACATGCCCCTGTCGTGAGGGCTGTGACTTCGGCTGTGGCTTCGTCTGCGCCCATCAGACGGTGACGAACTCGACGCCCTTCGCCTGGATCCTGAGGATCTTTTGCTCGATCCAAGGTTGTCTTGTCGCGGGGGCGATCGGTCCGATACGGCAGCTTTCTTTGTCCGAGCAGAACTCTTTGATTTGCTACGCGTGGTTGACGGAGGTTGAGGTGACTTGGACCTACTAGCGCTGCGACTTCTCCTGCCTTTCTCGCTAGACCGGGTAGATTTCGGGCGTGTTGCTCCCATCCGAGCCGATCGATGTGAGGACATTTCCATTTCCGTTGTGCTCCCCCGCCGTTTTGCCTTTTTGCGTCGAGTTTGTTGAGTCGATGTAGATGGTCTTCGCGATTCAGAATGCTCAATCTGACTGGACTGATCCAGAAGCATGGCGACTCGCGCCTGAATTTCCGGGTCGGGTTCGACGGAGGTGAACGACTGTTGCAGTGACATGCGCCGTGACTTGCTACTTTGGTCCAAAATCTGCATCGATTCTGCCACGGACAGCCGACGCTCCGAGCGCCCACCAAAGTCTTGGTCAAGGTTTTGAAAGACAAAACTGTCTTGGTTCAGGACTGTGTCGACGGCTTCTGCAGTCTCCCCCATGAGATCATCGCCCTCGTTCGCAAAGGGAGGAACAAGGAACGCCGGAACAACCTTTGATGATTTTCGCCTGGTCCCGTCGTAGACAAAGGATGGTATGATAGGTTCGTAAGATTCAGCAGTCGAAGACGCAGGAGCGCTTGCTCGCCTGGGCATTCGGCGTGACCTTCCTTTCGGCGACATGGCCTCTTGCTCTGGCTTAACAAATTCTGGAGGTTCCCACTGAATCTCGACGTAATGAGCTCGAACGGATTCCGGAGACGACAGCAGCGCAGCCAGATCCTCATCTTCGTCTAATTCATCTCCATTGTCATCAGTTATATCTTCCACATTGAACTCAACGTCTGCACCAAACGACGCCCGCCGTTTGCTCTTTTTCTTTTTCTGCTGTTTCTTCCGAGCTGATTTTTCTTTCTTTTGTTGTTTCTTTTCCGCCTTCAATTCTGCCTTTAGCGCTTTTCTCTCCGCCTTGGATGCCGCCCGTTTCGCAAACTTTTCCATGGCCAACAGGAACAAGTCATCTTTGGAACTCTGGCGAGCAGGGAGCCGGTTGTCGCTGTTGTTGTTGATGGGGGGAGCCGCGTTTATATTATTTGCGGCGTTGGTGATTGTGGTTGCTACAGTCGTCATACCAGCTGTCGTGACCGTAACCGTTGGACTGTGATTGGTAATGGTTTCCAAGGTGGCCCCCAGGAGTTGAGTGGGGTCACTGTTTCGTCGCTTTATTATTTTGTTCTTCTTTTTGGACTTTTTGGTGTTGGTAGATTCGGGAGGTGCTGTGTCAGGCTGGGCTTTTTTGATTGGCGGCGACAACAGGTTCGACACAATGTTGGTGGGCGCCAGCCCCATCTTCTTTTGGTTACTGTTGCTTTTGGTATCTGTTCGTTGTTTGGCGTTTTGTTGTGGCGGCTTTGTCGCGGTCTTCTTGTTGCTCCCCTTTTTACTACTATTATGGCCCCCTTTACTCCCTTTCTTCACTCTCGTGGTTGCCCCATCCATGCTGTTGTGTTCTGCCGCACCAGTAGCAGTAGTATTCGCGTGGCTAATCACCGTCTTGGCATCTCGTTTTTCATCGTCGTCTTCGTCATCGTAGTTGGACGATATGTGAGACATGGATGCCCATAGTCTTGTAGCTTTGGACCTCCTACCAGTAGTTGGATCAGGACGAAATACTTGCATAGTATCGTCGTCCTCCTCCGATTCATCGTCATCTTCCTCCTCCTCCGAATCAGCTTGGTATTGATTAAAGCTCCCCACAGCACTTTCTCTCTTCTCTTTCTTGTTCTCGTTTTGGGCCAACATGGCACCCACTCCATCCAACGACGATTTCTTTCCTCCGTTATTATTGTTGTGAGGACTGGGAGACAATAATGGATCGCAAAAAAAGTCCCCAAACATCTCATCACTGGGTACAAATGGGTCACTTTGCTGCGACTCTCGCAACGATTGTTCCACGTGTCGGGTCCGTCTTCGAGAGGTGGAAGCCTCGGTCAGGAAGGATGTTGTGGATGCGTTGTTATTGTTGTTGGCTCGTTTCAGTAGTAGGTTGGCGGACGAATCATTGACTGTGATTTGGCCAAATCCGTCCATGGTGTTATGATTATTATGATCAGTAGTGGGAGAAGAGGATATAGAAGAAGGTTGCAGCAAACTGAGGGAGGATGATTGTGGATTGTTGCACAAGGCGTCGGGCGTGGGAATGGACATTTCGGAAAGTGTACTGGAAGCCGTGCTGGAAGTACCAAATCCGGTCGTTTGAGAGGTTTGACGATCCGCCCATCTCACTTGTACCTGCTGCAGTCCATCTTCCAGCTGCCAATCGTGCTGTTGGTTGTTGGATGATGATGAGTTTTTTCGGGAAGCCTTTTGATAATTCTTGCTGCTGCTTCCCGAGGAATACAGACTGGATTGGCTGACGGATCTTCTGTAGAGTTGACTTCCCACAGCAGCAGCAGCAGTATGATGTGCTGGCGGTGGAGCAGCAGCTGCTTGTAGATTTGCTTGTGTGGGTTGTTGACGTCGTTTCCGTCTTGTCTGGGGAGGCGGTGGAGAGCTGGTTTGTCTTGCATTGACGGCTGGTTCCGATAAGCGTCGTCGTAACTGACCGGGTCGCAGTCTCGTCGTGGACGGTGTCTCGGAAGAATTCACCTGATTATTCTGAAAGGCAGGAAGACTCTGATGCATCATTGCCTGGCTGCTTGTATCATCTGATGCTTCAATATTAGAAGGACCACTTGTGGCCACATCCAGTTGAATGCTTGCATCACTCATTATTATTGGCATTAATGACAGTTGCTTCAGGGCTCGTTCAATTTCTTCAGGTTTCAGAGGTCGCATGCTCCTTGGGTCCACACTGATTGATGGCTCCAAGGACAGCACACTCCACTCGACCAGTCGAGTATGGCTAGTGCTCGAACAGACACTCAGTTATGCTAATGGTCAGCCAGTGCACCAATGGTCCAGATTATTCTCATCTTCATTCCCATGCTTGACAGCAAGGAGAATGAACGGATGAGGCAAAAATGGCAGCTGAAGCGTGAAGTGAAAAAACCTGGAGGACGTGGAGACGTGGAGTCCGTCCTCGGGCCAACGTGGAGCGCAACGAAATTCTGAACCCGTGCCAACCTTGCAAAAAGCAATAAATTAGAGTGAAGTGATAAATCTCTCAAATAAAAGTACTAATGCTTCTTGCGTTATCAACCGAAGAGAGTCTAAACATCCCGTAAACTCATTGGTCTGTTAGCGTGATACATACTCACTCTAATGCAGGTGGCAGGTCGTCTACATGGCAGAAGCTACAGGTCTTCTCGATGTTGTCGTTACCTTGCATGCTACACTGGTTCATCTAGATCTATCTCAACCACCCAGGCTGAACCGTCTTGGGCATTGGGCAGTTGGGCAGGACCGAGATCCTTGCGTACCCGAAAAAGATGATGGAGTTACCAAGGTTGTTTTTGGAGTCAAGGCGCAGATAGCGGCTGGCTTGCACTTTTCTTTTGTACCTTAGGAACAGTGGGGGGAAGAGGAGCTTCCTTCCATTGAACTCCTCGCTTATCCTCCTTTTCCTATCTCTATGCATAGCTACCGGTAGCCTGACACCAATGCATTCGGGTCTTCCTTGCTTTTCAGTCAACGCCTTTCATGGCACAACTCCTACCGTACGAGCTTGACAACCGCTCTTCAGGACCAACTCTTGGACTCACCAGGGACTTATCCAGGGCCTCCACAGCTAGCTAGCTAGGCAACTTGAATACCAACCTCTGCCACACTCCAGGACCAACCTCACAGTCAGATCTAAAGATTCTTACTCCGGTAGTACCAGTACTGGTACTGGTAGACGAATGTCTTGCTCACTGTTATGTTTCCAAAAGTTGTGTTTCAGTAAGCCAGTTTAGCTGTTTGTTCACCACCGAAAATTGGGCAACTGTGGTAAAGACGTAATATCTCGAGGCATGCTCGCATGGTTGAAGACAAAGCGAAGTGGCGGTCTGATCATCAATCAACGCCGATGACCTCGCCATAGAATATTCAGCACTTTGCATCCCATAGAAATTCTAGGAACCACGTGCGGCCATGGAGGACCACGAACTGACCCACGATGAGTTGGTGTGGGCGAACCGGATCAAGGAGGAGCTGTGGAAATCGACGAGGATAAAGGACGGTTCGATATCGGATTGGGAATGCGTCGAGTTGGCATTGACATCGATAGAGAGAAGTCAAGACCTGCAAGTTGCGGAAGACCAAGCATGGAAGCTTCAGTGTTTTCGAGAGCACTACAATTTCGAGGTTGACATGAAAGAAGCAGAAGCCATGCAGTTGTTGCGCGATATCATTCTCCAGATGCCAGGCAGCATTTTGGGTTTGGACTATCTGCGGGATAGTGGCCATTACCTCTTTGTCTACGACTTTGCCAAATTCTTCCCTGACAGAATTCAGACCGAACGCGATTGGAGAAGCCTCATGGGTGGCTTTTATGTGTTGCATCAAATCATGAATTCCAACTTGAGTTCTATACGACAAGGGGCTTCTTTCATTTTTGAATGTGAGGGTGCAGGATTCCACAATATGGATCCCGCAGTGGAACAGCGCTGGTTGATGGAATTTGGCAGTTTCTATCCACTCAAAAAACACGAGATACAGTGGATCCATGCCCCTTCTGTGGCTGTAATGATGTATTCCATGGTCAAACGATTCGTCCCAGCAGCGGATCACCAAGTCAACAAAATGTGTGGGGACCTAGAGGGATTTGAAGGAGGGAGAATAGATCAATTGTACAATCAACCGACATTGGAAGTAGCACAGGAGCATTTGATACAACGTCTCCCGCAGTGCCTTCGAGAGCGCATGATAAATCAACAGAACTTTCTGTTGCCGGTTCCCACGACCAGACCACATGCACCACCCACAATGAGTATCACTGCCGAACCAGTGGACGATGACGACAATGCTTCCGTGATTATGGAATTTGAAGAGGACGAATACTACTCCGATGGCTAGCTAGCTAGAAATCCATTGGCTGGCCTTTCGGGCCGGGCCCATGAAGCGGGGAAGAACACCTTTCGTGCGAACCTACCGAATGAAGGTTCTGAACAGATGTTATCATCTCAATCAGTTTTCAAATGCGATTGGAAGCTACAGTCGTACTTACCAAGGAGCCTCTGTCACGCACCGTACCGGGGAGTCCTGTCGCCATCAAATTGCGGCAATCTATTTCTGCGAGCAGACATACCTTGAGTCGAGTCCACACAACAAGCGCGTGGTACAATTGACTAAGAAATCATAAGGAACAGATTTTTATAAATCATTCAATCAATGGTGGTCCACCAAAATATTTAACATTGTTTTACTTTGTTGTTGCTTGTGTACGGGCTTTCTGACAACAGGCTTTCTGACAACAAATCAAGGTGCAGCCCACCATTATATACAGATATAGTATGTTCTTGCCTGCTGTTTCCTTCGTCACTACTACAACAGGTTTTCACCATTGTCGCCATTATTGGCGCCATCAGCTCCTTCTTGTGTTGGCGTTGTGGCGGCAGTATTTGGGACGGCGGGAGTTTCCTTGCAAGAATGCAGCAATTTCAAATCATACCACTGAGGTTTCAATACAACTTCATCTGCAGTTCCATCATGTTCCATAATGACAGGTTCATTGAGCTTTGTTTTATCTTTGTCGAATTTCACTTGATAGACATCCACATTGTTGAATTTGAATGGCATTTTCAGCATTAGCTTGAAGAATTGAGAGTGTCCAACCACCGCAACAATGGATTCCGGTTGGTTGCCCAGCCATTCTTCAAAACTGGCGACTCTTCTCTCAAAGCCACCTGAATTCCCAGGGACCCATTCAATATGAGTCTTTTCGGAGAGAAGATCCAAATTGACCACTCTTTGAATGGGTTCCGGGTAGGATGGAGTAGTTGTGCTGGTTGTGGTGGTAGTAGTAGTGGAAGTAGTACCGGTAGCATCTGCTTTGGTGGCACTTGCGTTGGGAGTTGCTGGTTCGAACTTGACCTCCTCTTCTTCTACTTTTCCTGATTGTGACTGATCCTCGCCATCGGCGTCATCGCTACTGCACCCAATCAACTCGGCACAGGTTTGTTTGGCTCGGGCCAGTGGCGAATGAACGACCAACTCAATCTTCTGAGACGCCACAAAATTGCAGTCCGTCAGTTTTTCTTTCATAGTTTGGCATTGCTGCAATCCAACTTCGCTGAGGGGAACGTCGTGTGCAAAATTCAATAGCTCTAAAGAAGCACCCACATCGGATCGCTTCGGCAGCGAGAAGCTGCGAAGGTCACCCAAGCAACTAAACATGGAAGAAATCCGTTGGTTTTCCACCGATTCTGCATGACGGATCAAAAAGACTGTCTTGGGACCCATTGTTGGCGGAGATTCCTTGGTTGATCCAGGAGCCGATTGTGCTGGAGTTGTGGTGGTGGACATGGTTGTGGATTGATGGATCGAGATGTAATCTACTATCTGTAAATGATGTGTTGCGTCGAGTCTTCTGGGTTTTGTGTCCGTTGGTTGAGAAATCGGAGTGGAACGTGATTGGCGTCCCACCAGCCACGCGGGAATCGACTCGACTCCTGTACCGGTACCGCTTTTGGATCGTGCGTGGCACCAACTCTTCCACTCTTCGAAATGCCTATGCCGAGCGCTTTCCTTTCCTTGTCAGCAGCCCCCTGACCTCGAGGCCCACTCAGTCCAGTACAGTGTACCGTACCTGGTACCCTTTCATCGCCTTGTCAGATCAGCCAAAACTCTATCGCATCGCAGGACCTTGAAACCCTAGCTAGCTAGACTCTAGTTGTAGCTAGATCAACTCCCGCTCTGGAGGGACAAGTCCTTGCGCACAAGAGCACCCACCGCTGGCCTAACTCGAGGCAAGCCCAACCAAGTCCAATGCCCCAGGACCATAACCTGGTCTTGCCCGTGGGCCAACAACTGTTGGTGTTCTTGGGCTTACTCAGTTACTTGGTTGGGCAGCAAAAGGTCGAGTGGTTGGAGCGGAAATATATGTGGCGGCGAAATGTCTTACATCTTTCGAATGATACTGCTACTGTGCGGTACCCAGCGCCAATGCCAGGAGCAACAAATAGCTACCCGGGAGTTTCCTTTGCCTGCATCACACCTATCTCTATTCCCAAACCTGGCCCAACAACAGGTTATATGCCTGTTCTTCTGCTCCCAGCCATTATCTCCTGAACCCACACCTGGCCCCATCCCATGACCTTCTCTGGGATCACGCCTTTCCTTTGGCCGATCCCTTGCCAACTCCAGACCAATCACCCAGATACGCTCCAGGGCCTGCACTTCGTCCCACTCCAAGCACCACTGTTGCCAGTACCCGCACAAGGAACCACGCCAGGACTACCTGGATGCCTCGATTGCCTTTGACTTACTTTTCTCCGTCTGAGCTACAGTGCACGGAGGGCACGAATCATGATAGCCTCTCATGCCGCAGCCAGAATGGACTATTGGATATCAGCAATCTTGTGGCTCCTGATACCCAATTGATGGGCCCTAGAATGGCTAGGACGGCTCATTGTCTCCTGAACAGGGGGATTTAGAGTACTAGTATAGCGAGTGCCAGGCTTAATTAAGCAAAGAAGAGGCGAATCCAGGACCAGGTTTCGTGAAATCAGGGGCAATAAATTGACCACCATTACGGGGTGGCTTTGCAGGATCCACAAGACATACATGGGTAGCTTTAACAAGGGCAACCGAGATGCGGGTCTACAGGAAGAACATCATTCTCTCGTTGCTCAAGCAGCGCAGAGACTCTCGTTGCTCAAGCAGTTCGGCGACTCCCACAAAGGCATACTGGCCCAGGCCCACAAAAGGAAGAAACCTTCCGATCCAAAGATCTTTCCGATCCAGCAGCAAGATGCCTCCGCATCCAGTAGTCTCTGCCGTTTCGATACAGGCTCCGAAATACTAGTAGAAGAAGAATATGGCTGACAAGTAAGTAAGTTTGATGCGTCTTCCACCAAAGCGAAGCCTTCGCTTGGGAGCGTGGAGCAAGCAAGTGAAATCCATGCCGAACCTCGGATTTGATTTCGTTTGTCAAAAATTAAAAGCCATCAAAGCTGTGCCATTCCCGCGCGGCATTGGCTTTCGATCGAGACCACGAAAACTCCAGCGGCCACGACGCCGTTGCCGCTCGCACTTGTTGTTCAAAAGTCACATCCTCTTGACTTCTATCTTGTGTTGTGGCAATGGCAGAACCAGCAGAAGAAGTAGAGCGCAAGATGGAAGAGTCGGCAGTTGAGAAGAAAGAGGAAGCTCCGGTTGCGACCGGCAGCAGCAGTCCAGATGACGGAATCCGTCGATCCGGCAGAAAGCGAGCTTCGACCATTATGATCATCAACGGCCACGCTGTGAAGAAAGCCAACAACTATGTCCTCAAGGGAGGTACTTATTCACATGGAGTCTACACTGAGGATGAACAGAAAAAGGCTGCGTCCTCCAAAAATCCCAAGAAACAAGGAGGTCCTCGCAAGGCGGAAGCTCGCAAGGTTTCGGCATCGGAAACTGCTCGCATGGACTGTAACGACAATGTCAAAAAGAGTGTCCAATCCAAGGAACCTCTCCGACGGGACTTTTTGGTCAGAAACAGAGAGTTGATTGAACCGTTCATGGACGAAAACACAAAGAGAATGGTGGACAACTGGGGACAACTAAAGAAACCAGCAAAGAAATTCGAAAAGCAAGAGCTGTTTGCGCAGCCAGAGTTAGTGGAAGGTGGAGAAATGAGAGACTATCAGCTTGCCGGCCTCAACTTTATGGTGGAAATGCACCAACAGAATCTTGGAATGATCTTGGGAGATGAAATGGGCCTGTAAGTGGCAATTAATTGTTGTTCTTTGTATGAAGAGCACTGCAGTGGATCAGTGAACTTTGTTTCTTCTATTTACTGTGGGCGTAACCTCATCTACTTTTTTATCGTTCTGCAGAGGAAAGACCTTACAAACCATCTCTCTCTTGTGCTATTTGAAAGAGCATCTAGGACAGAGTGGACCAAGTTTGGTGGTTTGCCCACTATCAGTTTTGTATTCATGGTGCTCTGAAGCTCAAAAATGGGCCCCTTCTCTCAAGGTGCTGCGACTACATGCCACCAATAGTGAGGATCAAGCCAATCAACGAAGAGAACTTGTGGAACATGCAACCGAATATGATCTGGTGGTACGTATAGCCATTTTCTCAAAGAATCTTGAGTGTTGTTGGTTGATTGTAATCATTCTTATTCTCGACTCTGCCACTTTTGCATTATTCGTAGGTGACAACCTACGAGATGATCAAGGTCCAGCAGTTGCAATTCATGTTTAACCGCATCCACTTTCGATATCTCGTTTTAGATGAAGGACATAAAATTAAGAGCGGCTTGACACTCGTTGCCCAAGCAGTCCGCAGATTGCATTCGGAGAATCGCCTTCTGTTGACCGGAACACCTCTGCAGGTACGTTCGGCGAAATCATCATGCATTACCAGGCACGCAAAGACAGCTATGAATGCCATGCACTCCCTCGCTCGGACTGATTCATTGTTAACATTGTGCTACTCGTTCTACAGAACAATTTATCCGAGCTGGTGCAGTTGCTCAATTTTCTGCTCCCAGATATCTTTAACAATTTTGAGCCCTTTGAGAATGCATTTGACATTACAAACAATGTGATCGACAAGGAGAAAATGATGCAAGCCCAAAAAGTCTTGGGCTTGTTCATGATTCGCCGTCTAAAGAATCAGGTGGAAAAACTCATGCCCAAGAAAATCGAAACAAAGGTTAGTCAGTTATACTGTGGTAGCATTTGTCGTGCATCGCTATCATCCTTTCCACTTGTTCTAACCCCACTCTTGGTTCTATTGAATGGTTGAAAGGTGTATTGCCCGCTCTCTCGGAATCAGATCTTTTGGTACAAGGCCATCCTGATGAAGGATCTTAGTTACTTGGAGAGGCACGACAGCAAAGACGGCACAGTGGGTGCCACCGCGGCGCAAAAATTGGCGGGCCTCTTTATGCAACTGCGAAAAGCTTGTCTGCATCCTTTTCTCTTTGATGGAGCAGAACCAGACATTGGAGCGACAACGCTTGAACAACTCATTGGTGCCTCTGGTAAACTGGCCGTCTTGGACTCCTTGTTGCAAAGTCTTTTTAAAAAGGGACACCGCTGTGTCATCTTCTCACAATTCACAAGCATGCTTGACATCCTCACCGACTATTGTACCATGCGAGGTTGGCGACATCACCTCTTCGATGGAAGAACGTCCCGTGCGAGAAGAAACTATTTTGTCAACGCATTCAATGCAAAGAACAGCGATGTCTTTCTGTTCTTGATGTCGACCCGCAGTGGTTCAATGGGCCTCAATCTCCAAACAGCCGACACAGTGATCCTCTTTGATTCTGACTTCAATCCACAGATGGACCTTCAGGCTCAGGCACGTGTTCACCGCATTGGGCAAAAGAAAACAGTTCATGTCTACAGGTTGGTTGCGGGTGGAACCGTGGAAGAAAGACTCGTGGAGCGAGCAGAGAAGAAGCTACTCCTTGATCAGATGGTGAATCGCGATCGGCCTGCAGGCGGGGCGCCAGACGCCAACGAAAAAGAAGGCTTTTCGGGGAGTGAAATGCTAAAGGATATCAAGTTCGGGAGCGCCGCAGTTTTTGGCGATTCTTCCCTCAATAGTTTGCCTGCTGCGAAGGATATTGAGTTCATCACGGACCGCAAGCGTTCCGAAATGGACTCGGATGGCAAGCTGAAGGGCAACGTTTTTCACAAAGGAGACACTTTTGATGTTACAAAGGAGCTCTCCGCTAGCCAAACGTTCCAGGGTATTGATTTCAAGAAACTTCGACAAGTGCAGAAAGGCAAAGGCGAGGAGGACATTCCAACTTCTCTGCGAGGCATCTCACGAATGTGGGTCGACAACGAAAGCAAGCGAAAGAAGAAGAGTCGTGTTGTGATGGTGAAAGGCAACAATAGCGGTTATGGCCAAGCAATGGTGCCTGTCTTGGCCTCCAACAACTACGACTTGGAAAACGGGGAGTCATCGGTGTTCGACCGCGAACTTTCCAGCAAAGCCAAGGACGGCTATACGGTAAAAAAGCACAAGAGGGCAAAGGTGCCGGATCACCAAGATTTCTGCCAGGTTTGCGGCGATGGTGGAACGATCTACCTTTGTTCTCGTTGCCCCGTTTCTGTCCATCGGCGGTGCTGTGCAACCGTCGACAACATGCAACCATCATGCCCTCATCACTGGTGCTGTCTTTGTGAAAAACCTGCTCAATTCGTGGGAGGAATCCTTTTCCCTTGCCAAGGTAAGTGCAAGAAAGCATGCTCATACTAATTCCTCCATACTCGTGCTCATTCCTCCCTTTCACCTTCTAGCTTGTCCCAACGCCTATTGCGAGGACTGCTTGCCGACAGGAAACCCTGGATTTCGATACTTGGAGCAATGCGATCGTTTTGAAGAAATGGGATTCAACTCTACCAAGACTTCTGTTTACATTCACTGCTCCACCCATTGTGAGGAGTACGCGAAACAAAACCTTGGCTGGAAGGCTCCTAGCACGAAGCGACAAAGTTGCCCAAAGAAAATCGACGTTTCTGCGGAGTTTGGCGGAGAAGAGGAGGGAAGCACTGAATTGACTCAAGCAGCAGCGGCTGCATTGCCCGCAGTGGCACCCCGTACCGTGTCTACCTCAGAGTCTTCATCGCCTTCTGGCAGCGAATCCGGCGCAGACAGGCCTGGCAGTGTTGCGGGTGCTGCAATCAATGTCGACTTGTCGCTTGATGACGATGATCAAGGAGGACAAGGATACGTGTAGATAGTTGCATTGATGTTGCAGGAAGACTTGGTACCGACACGAAGCATGCTCTAGTCGGGGAGATGGAAAATGCGAATAACTTTGTCTTCGGGGTCGAGTTTCTCAGAAGGTTGATATAGTTGCCTAATAGATGATGTATTGATCGCAATGCTCATACTTGTAAAGGTTGGCTCAAAGATCGCCCATCCTGACGCGACTAGTGGAGCGACGACTAGCTAGGAGCCATTGGTCAGTGGTGCAGAGGGGGCTAAGAAATTTGTTTGAATGAATACGCTACTGCTGCCATCTATATCCTTTAGTATCTGGTCGCCGATCCTTTCATAAGCTCAGCGAACACATTAGTCACGACAGTATCAGCATCATTTGATGTTCTTGCTCGGATGGGACTCGCTCAATTCCGAGGCCCATCAAGGTTGTTCCCATCCTTCCGGCCCATTCAAGTGTCGACTCTTGTTGTCCATCCTCATATGGCGACAGTTCTTGCTCTTCTGGTGTCCGTCTGCGGGAGCTGGAAGCTACCGGTACCGCAGATATCGACACACTGAAGGAAGAACTCAACGAGGCATCGTTGTCTGATGTTACAGTCCTCTTGCTAGAAGTTGTACGAGTAGCCTTGTGCTCCAACGTCCGAGAAACCTTTTTCATGGTGCTCACCGAAAAGAAATCATCTTCAGTGTCGCCAACGGTGTAGCCCAACTCGAATTCTGTCATTGAAGTATCCATTTTGCCGTCTGTGATTGCTTTCCTTCGTTATAGCTATTGCTGTTGGTTTGTAATGCTGATTCGATTTGTGTCCACAAGGTGCCAACATTGGCAAACCACGCAAGCTGCATGCAACAAACTGGGGTAACCACTTTCGCCGATCGCGTTGATATCGATGGTCGTGTCCCTGGTGATGGGTGTGGATCGGAATATCGTGGGAACTGTTGAACAACAAGGTTGGTTCCGACAGGTCTTCCGACCCACTGTTACTGGAAAGCACGACCCCATCAGTAACACACTTTCTGAAGGTGTGGGTGTGCGGCTGGGAACGAAAGAAGTGAAAGAAAACAAGAAAACTACCGGTCAATAAAATATTAATAGTATTTTAAAATAGTACTGTACCGGTTGCATACAGTACTATTATTTAATAATACTAGTAGCTAATAGGAAGTAGGAAGACAGGAAGACCCCCTTTCTATTGGCCAGCTAGAGCAAAAGGATTTAAAGGAGACTTGACAGGTACTGTACCGGGTACCGGTACACCAGAAAAGCCCGATTCGATTCGATGTGGGACCCAAGGTGGTTTTAGCTTGCATGCAAGCTTGTATGCCAAGTACCAGTAGCCACTGGGCAGTGGATGGTGTTACCAGTTTACCTCGCTCTGTTCTTGTTTCCATGTCGCTTCCAAAAGTCAAGCGTCAAGGCACCCGAGAAGGTTGCTGGGTGTCGTAGCAACCGTAGCTAACTTGCAAGTACTCTCGTTCGTGACCAGCCATTGCGATGCATTTCTTTCAAAATCCACCAACGTTAGTTGGCGACGAATCATCAAGGAAAAGCTTTTGAGAGGCAAACCGATGCGAAGAACGAAACAAAAAACCGTTTGGCCATCCTTTTGGCAAATCGCCGAGACAGAGGATATCGAGAATGGACCGCGGAGTCGGAATGCTTAGACACTGTCATTCTGATAAAGCAACCCCGAGAGATCAGCTGAAGCTACGGTACATGAATGCAGAATTTCCCCCACATTGGTCCGCGCCCCGCATAAGTGGCTACAGGACTACAGGACTTGGCGTGCTCCTGTAAGGCAAAGCAGGCATTCTTTGTCGAGTGCACAACTATACCAAGATCACTTTCCCCCTACATTGCCCACATGGTACATTACAGAACCAGTAGCAGTGGATGGATCTTTCTCTCTCTTTTCCTCATCTATATACATCTTATGCATTGATCCACACGTTGCAGATTGGCGCATAGACTCCTTTGAGTGAACATCTCCATGGCTTGTCCATGGTATAATGAATGATATTGATGTCTTGCATTTTGTATTGATCCCAAAATTCCCGCTGAAACTCGTACACGGCCATATTGGCATTGTTGACAAATCCAATTTCATGCCAATTGTTGCGGTAGACTGTATTCAAGAATCCCTGATCACCCATCGTGTATTCGTAGCGGATTCCCTTTCGCAACAATCCCACCAATCGTTCATGCTCCTGCAGAGATGGATTCAAGAGCAAGACACCGGAGTTGAACGTGTTGACCCATTCTTGGTTGCGAATATCACGCGTGACACCAATGGGTTTGCCTTGCAAGTCCATGGTAAACAGATGATCAATGCCGGCACGTGGAAATGTATCGGCATCGACAAAGACGACTCGTTGGTAGACTTGCATGGCCCAAATGTGCAATACGGCCAATTTTTCTCTCAAATCGTGACGGGTAAATTCCTTTTTGGGTGGATGAATGGGACTGACGACACACTTGATAAATCCCACTCTGTGGAGTCGCTCCCATTGATGGGGGTGGAGCGGTTTGTGTTGGAGTTCCATGACAACTCGGTCATGGGGTGTGTGGGTTTGTCGTTGAAGGGCACGTCCCAGTTTGACGGCTCCCTTGACGTATAAGTTGTTGTCGTTCAACATGGTTCATACCGACACCTTGTGCTGGGGATGGAAATCGTCATTGAGACAGTGATGCTGCGGTTGTTGGATTACTTCTGTGATTTCGACTGGTGCTGATTTTGGTGGTGGAGTCATAATTGGAGGAGATGTCACGGGGTCCGCAGATACTGGCGGTGGCTTTGTCATTGGTTTCGATGTTGGCGGTGCTGCTGCGACAGGAGGCGAAGTCAGTGGTGGTACGGATGATGACGGAAGTGGTTCCACAGGAAGTGATGATTCTACTAGTAGTTCTTTTCGCGGTGCTCTCGTTTCTATTTTTGTTGCACGATCTGTAGTGGTGGTTGCCGTAAACACAGCTCGCTTTGGGTCTCCTTCTACCACTCTGAACTCGCCTAGCATGTGGGATCCATCGTTGTAGACGATCACTGACATGCTGATATCAAAATGATCCATTTGCAAAATAACTTGGTGCCGCCGTGGGCTGAACGTATCGTCGCCATTGTGGAGTGTTACTATCGGTACAGGGTGCCATACGGGTATAGATACCGTACCAGGTACAGGTACCGAAGTTGTGATTGCATGATGTTTGTGGCCGTTGTTTGGAGGCTTCTAAAAAATGAGCAGAATGACCCTGAGTCATTTTCCGAAAGATCCGATCCCTTCCGCTCCTCGCACCATCCCAATCTGCTACAATAAATCTAGCAAGCTAGTTGCCATGACATCAACAACAACAACAACAACACCCCCGTTGATAGTCTTGGCTCCAACCTTTTATGGCAGCACGGATGACATTCGGTATGCTTTGGGATTGGAATCGTGTCGCAAGGCGGCGGAACATGGCGTTCGATTGTTGATTGTGGATGCGTCCCCTAATCACCACGACACGGTCCGAGAATCCTTCACCAATGCCGGTACCGATGCAAAAGGCAAAGCCTGGGTGGAAGTGATTCCACAAACTTACCAGGGGAAAAAGGGAGCTGCCTTACAGGAAGGCGTGGCCGTGGCACAGCAACGGCTCCAAAACGAATTTCCATCCCAAAAGGATACTAGCTTCGTGGCAATGATGGAACCTGAGAAATTTGACTTGGTCCAGTTTTTTAATCCCATGGCACAACACATGGCAGCCAACAAGTTGGATATTCTATTCCCTCGCCGACCCGATGCCTTGTTTCAGAACACATATCCCATTGAACAGTATCACGCCGAAAACTTTGCCAACATCTACTTGAATACCCTCGGTCAAGCCGTGGGATTTCCATCGGTCGACTGGACGTTCGGACCCATTGTCTTTCGAGCCTCCTTGGCGTCGCATTGGTTGGAATACAACGAAGGAGATTTGTGGGATGTCCAATTTGTGCCACTCATTCGGGCATGGCGGCGACGACAACAACAAACGAGCAAGAAGACGGAACCAATAGTGGCGTCGTACGCGGTAGACTACCATCATCCCGACAAAATGAAGCAAGAAGAAGAGGGGGTGGCCAAGTGGAGTGAAAAACGACTCTTTCAACTCAACCTGTTGTTTGACAAAGTGGCAGGGGAACTCAAAAAACAACAGCAACAGCAACAGCAAGAACCTGCATCGACAGATAAAGTATAAACCAAACAATCCACTTTGGCTTCGATACTACAAAGAAAGAATGCGCGAGGCACTATCTCCAATTGATTTATTCTGCTCGAATGTGGTAGTACCGAGTATGCATGTGGCCAACAAAAAAGCGGACTTCACCCCGGAAATGGATTCTGTTCTATTGCTGATACCAGGTCCGACTGTACCATCAGCAAAGTCTTCCCAGATGCTACATGTACATGTATCTAGCTACCGTAGCTGTACAGAACTGTGATCTGAAATCCCACCGGTACCGGTAGATACAATTACTTTTAGAGACGCTGGGCCATCGAGTTACTTCCAACTCAACCTCTCTAGAGTACGATGTAGCAAGTAGAGGTGCTACCGGTACTCTCTAGCTAGTAGTGATATTTTGTTCCCGAGCCGAAAGCTTTGCTAGGAAACTATGGTTTCGTCCCGACAACAGAGAGTGTATGAAAATAAGATATCGGATAAAAATGTAATTATAGAATCAGTTTTGATAACTAAATCGTCTCATGTATTTTGGATCACAGAAACCTGGATCCGCCTTGAGCCTCAGCTTGACCGGCTAGCTAGAGTGCCAGCATGAGAATATGAGCTTGTGACGCTACCCTTTGATCTCTGGTCCGGGTCAGTCTGTCTTGTGCATTTCGAGCCAGTTGGCTGGCGTATTTTCCGGCAGAGGATCTTCTGGTATTGGCGTGGTCGTCCTGATCCTGTTTTTCAACGTGGATGTTGTCTACAACTTCGTAGCCGGGCAAGAGTCTCAGATCGGCATCCACGGGGGCTCGGTTTTCAAGGGATCTCGAAGCTCTCAAGTGAGCTGGAGCGCACACATAGCCTCGTCCGGATCCCCGGGTGCACGTTTGCGTGCAGATCATGGCATCGGTGGAAGCATCCATCTTGAATATCTTTTGAAGTAGTAAGGTATGGTGCGGTACGGTATGGTATTGGATGCTTTGTTGTGCCAAAGAAAGGAATTGTGAGTAACCGATTGCCAAGAGATCGCGATGCAATCCTGAACCAGCATGCAAGAAGCTTAGGAAGGAGAAGAAAACGGCATTGGACATTGGACCATGGGAGTTTCATGTGCGACTGAATTTTTCATCACCCAGTGAACAAGCATGAGTGACTTTTTGGTCAGAATGTGGCACAAAGAGTAGAAAAGAAAGGCTTTGATGCCAGTGAACTGGTACCGGTACAGGAGGAGTTGATCGAAGACTACATTTTTGTTATTGGCCTGGCTCCGTGAAGGGGAAGCTTGGTCATACTGCGTGGTGGTGGGTTAACTCTCTCTATTGCAATGTCATGACTCTACCGGAAGTAGTACCGGTCATTCAGCTAAGCAACTTCTGCATGTATCTACCGTAGCTACTACTAGCTAGCTACCGGTAGCTAGCTAGCAGAGTCTAGCTAGATCTACTCGTACCATGTGGCCATGATTAGCAGTTTTTGTCCTTCGTCCTTGACGGGAGTGAGTGTCACTCATACTCCGTGGTTGGGGGCAAGGGTTGGTGCTCCGAGGAGGTGTTGGTGTGTGAAGGTCCAGGAGTTGGACTTGGTGTTGAAGGTCTAGGAGTTACTTGGACGGCCTGGGATTAGGACTGGACGAATTCAGGGCCGGTCGGAATCGAATGGGACTATGAGTTGGGACTGGTGGTGGCTACCGTAGCTGCTACGATATGCTATGTTCCCAGGTCGACAAAGGTGTAGGTTCTTCTGGCTTGAGAACGGTACGACTGTACACACTAGGTGTTTGTCGACGTGTGGGGCCAGGATTGAGGCCTGGGGTTCTTTGGCTTGATGTAGATAACAGTGTGCTGTGGCCTGGATTTGGGCCTAATAGGTCCAGGAGTTGGTCTTGGTGGACGATAGTTCCAGGGGTGGGACCAGGAGTGGGGCCTGGAGATGGATGAGGGGTATTAGGTCCAGAAGATCCTGTTGGTACTAACTAGACTAGTAGTAGGCTTTGGCTTGAGGAGGAGTTGGACGCTGTTGGCTCTTGGCTTTGGTGTAGCACGCACACTTGCCCTTTACCGCCTCCAAAGTACTGGTCCTCGCGCTCTCGCACAGCCTTACAGTGCTGTACGAGTACTTCACGCCAATTGCAACGCCGATGCACAGACATACAGTCGATGAGGAAGCAATGAACCTCCTTCACAGATCGACTCGGATATACTTACCCCTCTGCATACTGTTACATGTATACGCAGGGATGCTCTTTCCAGTCCGGACACATGGCTTTGTTCCATGGCCATTGGGACGTTGTGGCTACCCAAAATGGGCTGCCGCCAGTACATGTAGTAGGGGCACTGCTTCGGCGGGTAGTAGGGTGTACTCTTCGACACGGGAAGAACGAACCATATACACCATTGATTCTCCGCCCACAGATCCGATGGCCTTGAGAGAAGTCGTCACCAAGCACTGCTTGTCGTTGGACCTGTTTCTCAGCAAGAAACCGATTGCTTCTCACACAATAGAAGCATTTTCCAAGATACAAGCCACAATTCCCAAGAATGCCACCTTGGTATTGGACAGTGGGTGTGGAACAGGCCGGTCCACTCGACACTTGGCTTCCAAAGTCATTGTCAATGACAACAAGAACAACAATACTTGGGTCTTGGGAATTGACCGATCCTTGGCTCGGCTGGAACGCAATCATGGGTACAGAACACAGAATGCTAGTGATGATGATGTGTTGGTAGACACAAGAATAAGAGATGATGCAGAATCAAACAATAGCAACCCAAACCATGTACTTTGGATACGAGCCGAATTGGTGGACTTTTGGCGTTTACTATTACAACATCAACAAGAGTATCAATGGAATATCCAGGCGCACTACCTCCTGTATCCAAATCCATATCCAAAGAACAAACGATGGAGGTCTCGTTGGTATGGCCATCCATCCTTTCCCCTGATCCTGCAATTGGGCGGGGATATAGTGATTCGGTCCAATTGGGAACTGTATCTACAGGAGTTTGCGCAGGCAGTTATTTTGGCCGACAAGTCCTATCCAAACACTACGACAATCAGCAGCAATAACTGGGCACGTCCCTACGTGGAATCGGCCAGAAAGGGCCCTGTCAGGCGAGTGGTTGCCCCAGAAGATGTTCGTACTGCTGGATGGAGCAACTTTGAACGCAAGTACGACCTGGATGGTGAACCAACATTTGAACTGGCATTGACCAGGTCTTGCAGTCCATCGACGTGAACATCCACAAACCAAAAGCAGCACCACCAGAATGGCATGTCCGACAACAACACTATTGATTACCTAGCTAGACCCTGACATGACACGCACTAGAACCTAGCAGTCTAGCTCCTGAGTCTTCGCTGCTCGACTGGAAGCATGATGAGCTCGCCGTCGGCACGCAAGTACACACCCTGATCGAAAGTTCGAGAGCTTCCAGCATCAATCGAAGTCAACAGGGGACCCTTGGTCATGCAGCCACTTTCAATGGGATTTGCTGCCGGGTCGGGAGAGTCGTACAAACAGGCTGTAATGTCACCCTTCACAGTAAACCGATATGTGACACCTGGTTTGAGCATCACCGACTGCATGTCAACTGGCGAGTGGTCGGGGTACGTCAGCATAACAGCATCGGTCGAGGGATCCTGGACTACCAGAAACTCATTGTCGCATGTGTACCCGTCCCACTGTACGTTGGCACATCGACCGCCTGGGTCGCACTCGGCTCCTCCGGATGGCAGGCATTGATGGCAAAAGTATCCACCCAAGAGGAGGGCATCAAAGTTCAATTCGGAGTCATACTCACAATCAAACCTGTCTGCAAGCAAAGCAGCTGATGCATCCATTCCGGTCATGTTGCTTTGTACATTGGTATCGTTGCTGGCATATCCCGTGTCATCGTGAACTTGATCGAAGTAGATTGCGTCGGGGATTAGTGCGTCCACAACACATTCGTAGTCCCTGTACAAGGAGAAGTCTCGCCCCAGTGTTTCTTGTGCTGTTGTGGCCATGCTGTCAAACGATGGGTTGACGCGGCTGGGGACAGGACTGGCACATGTGGAGTTGGGTCGCACAGCATTGAGTGTATTGGTGGCCTCATCGACAAAGTGCAACACTTGAGATGTGGGTGAGAACTCCATTCCACCAATGGTAGAGTATCCTGTAGCAATACCAAACAATTTAGAGCCCGATTTGATTTCAAAGGCGTGAATAATTCCAGTTGCTCTCTCAGCCACGAACAACCGTTCACCGTCCGGGCTAATGGCCAGACCTGTTGGGGTGTCGATGTCAGTCGCAAAGTCGCGTTGCTCGGGACACTCCCAAATGCTGTATTCAAACGACGGAAGTCGGCTGCTAAAGATCGGATACTCCTGCCTTGCTGTTCTCGCGTAGGCTCCAGAGTCAGCATGAACAGCAATAACCTTGTTTTCACCAGGCACAGAAATGAACAGTTCTCGTGTTACAGGGTGGACTATCATTCCAGCGTGGACACCAGGGTCACCTCGTGTGAGTTGCACGTCCGGGAACCGTCGCACGGCTGCAATGGAGTGGTCCCTGTGGAGTGAGCAAAAACAAATGAGTAACAATCATTACGGTATTCCTTCCACCGTTGCATCTATCGAACGTACATGCTACCCGGGCCGTGGGGTTGCTGGAAATCAAACCTCACAAGCTGTCCGTTCTCTTGATTGCCTGTAGTGTCAAAAAGCCAGTACACATTCCCGTACGTGGCTTTTGAAGCAAATTGACGAACACATGAGTCTCGTTTCAACACCAGAACGAAATCAAGCAATACATGTGTTTTGTACTTACTCCTCAATTCAGGATCATGCGCCATCCCAATACAACCTGGTGCCTCGTGCAGCATGTCAGCATGCAAGAAGAAGCATTCCTCGTCTGGTTCACACTCTTCCCCCAGTCGATTGACAATGTTGCGATTACGAGGAGCACTGTTGTACAGCGTGGGTCCCATGAAATTGTTGGGCTCTTTGAGGCCCAAATAGGTGTTCATGTCATCGTTACAAACAGCCCAGTAGTTGAACGAGTCACGATCAGAAGAGCGGCCTGAATCTGAAACCATGTTAAAGGCCAGTGCTGTCGCATTGATCATGTAGTGATAGTATCCTCGATCTCTTCTACTGATGGTGGTCTGCCTGGGACTGCCGAGCGAAGCAACAATCGATACTGAGTGATTCAAAGCGTTGACGATCCACGCCTCTTCGCCTTCGTCAGGGTAAAAAGGTCGGCCCTCTGAAAAGTTTCCTAGGTGAAAGCCAGGTGTGGGGTGGCTGCGGCAACGGAAAAGTCAAGTTGAGGAGGATGCTGTATACCATACACTGATGGTGGTTCACCACGGTCCACTACTTACAAAGCCAGATCACGAGGACCATCAAATCCGGATGCCACAGTGACAACTTCGTGCGTTGCGCCAAACTCGGGTACACATTGGGCAGCATCCTCCACGCAAGGTGCCATGGAACAAGGTTGAGTGACGACGGGCGCTCCTTCACATTCTCCAGTACTCCAACGAAACTGAATGCCGTCACCACAGGTCACGCTACACTCGGACCAATCCGACCAAGTGCACTGGGAATCCGCCGTCGCAGGCTCGTCACCGGGGGCTGGATCTGGAACCATGGGTTCAGCTGGTGGTGCCTCCATACCTGATTCGACCACTGGTTCTGCCAAAATGGCATCAATGTATCTCGTCAGAGTCTGTTCCAAACCTCTGGCGGTATCAGCGACGCAGTCAAAGAAACTCTCAAAGCCACAACACGGACCAACGATCTTGTGCCTCACTTTAAGATCACCATCGAGAATCACATACGAAGGATGGGGAAAGGGCGCGGTGAAAAAGTCATCTCGAAGCGCAGAATCCTGGTCCAGGACAGTGAGAGGAACTTCTCTAGGTACAATGCCTGAATCTGGGAAGAGAGTGATGGCATCCAGTTGCCAAATACCAGCCCAACGCTCGCAGTTGGTACCTCCCTTGAGACTTGTCACAAAGTTGGTTCTATCGCCGTATTGTTGATAGTACCGTTGAGCCACATGCGTGAAGACTCCAGTTTCTCGCCGTCCCGCATTACAACCAATGTAAAAGTTGCTGCAGAAAAACACCCACAACAGCAGCCAGTGAGATGGGGCTAGCCTCGAACAAAGACCCAACAATCCAAACAGGGAACACTGAATGCATCGCACATACCTCACAACCGTCACTCTTCCTGCTCCCATAAAGTCTCGAAACATAAAGGTATCACCAACGGTGGGATGACAAGTCTCATATACTCGGTCGATGTTGGTATAGTTTTCCGCAAGATCTCCCTCACAAAGAGACGGGACCGGTGTGCCGTAGTTTAGGGGCGGACAAGTTTCACCACAACCTCCTTGAGAATTGGCAAATCCCAAGACCTGCAGAAGGACAACGGCAGCCAAAGGAACAAACATCTTCATCTCTTTGGTTTCGTACTCGTACAAGGAGTCTTTTGAAATTTTGATGGGTTGGGATGTTGGGATCGAGCTCAACTTCTTTCTCACAAACCTGGAATGCGGACAGAATGAGTGAGTCAGCAGCTGATTGTTAATTACCGTGACGTATTTCTTTGGCGTGAATGACGAATTTCAGTGCCAAGGAGGTGAGCAAAAGAGTTAGCAATCGTGCAACAATGGAGAATCAAACTGGTTGAGCTGTAAAAAGATTCTGTATCGAATTATCATCTTCTTCTGTTCTCCCAGAATTTTTTCTCTTTTTGATTGGGGATCCGGCGATTTCCTACGACTGTACTACTAGAGTGCCAATGAGTTGCTTGCTAAAGACACATGTAACGGAGAGTCCAGGCAAAACAGACCTCTAGCTAGTTTCTCACCAAGAAAGCACCAAAATGAGCAAGAGCCGATGTGTGAATCACGCTCGGGTCAACCAGCGTGTCACAGCGTATCGGTTCATACCGGTACAGTACCATCCCAAGACGGAAAATAACCAGTTTTGAGTGTCGGGCCGGGTGGTTTGATTGACGAAATTCATCCAAGAATCAAATTAGTTATCCTATAAAGGCATAGCTCTCAGTGAGCATGAAACTACTGTCTGGTTTTCATTTGATTCCATTTGGTTTTCTAATGATAGTTAGGTATGGAATTCGCAAGATGGCAACGAGTAGTCACTTGGAAGCGTATGATTCGAGTCAAGTCGACCCCGAATGATTAATCAGCCAAAAGAGTGTAATTATACCCAGTGAACATGGTTTCAATCCTCTCGAGAACCGCCTGATTGAATCATTCAATTCAGTCATTCAACTCAGTATTCTTTAGTTGTGAATTCAATCAAAATCCTCTTGATGATAACTTCCACTGGAGACTCCATCCCGAATATTTCCGCTGCTGTTGTTATTATTTTTGCGGCTGGCTCCACGTATCCGAATGGCATTGACACCTTGTACATGCAACAATTCTGGTGGAATCTCGTCATCCGGATTATGATGGACGCCATCATGGATTCCCAGTACATACTCCAATGCATTGGTGGAGAATTCTGGATTGTCGCCTAGTTCATCGCATCCACGAATATGATGGACGACCTTTCGATCCTTGACAATAATGAGCGTGGGCATGACGATAATTCCCAATTTTTCCACCAAATAACTGGCGGCGCCACCAGAAGATTGATCGCATCCACCCACGTTGATTTTGAGAAATCTCGTTTCCAAATGGGTTGTCGCGAGTTTCGCCAATGCCGCATGAAAATGGTCACACAGTGGCGTTTCCGGCCGATAAAAGTGGACCACTAGTCGATTCGACTCTTTGGAGGCTTCGAAAAATTCGCGATTCACGTCGCTACCGGCCAATTCGGTGTATTCTCCGTGTCCTTGGGCTCTCCATTTTTGACGATTTTTGGCTTCTTGTTTCATTTGTTGCAATCGTTTTTGACGGAGCAGTTCCAGAGCATCGTCGTCTTCCAACAAGGCATCGTACGCCGCCATTTCATCCACAATGGCTTGTTCTTGCGCCTGCGCCGTTTGCAGCATCATATTGGCGGCGGCATTGCCCACCTTTTGATTCGAAGCTCCGAAACCAAGGTCCATCGTGTGTCAATCCAATAAATTGAAATGAAAGTTAGAACCGAAGACGACCGAAGAGAGAAGAAGGAAAAATGAAGAAGGACAAAGCGGATTTGCTTTGTTTTACGAATGCCAATGACGGTCGCGCAGCTTTGCGCGCAAAACCAATCGCGGCATTCTACAAACCCTCCTCGGCAATGCAAGGACAAAAGCAACAAAAGAACAACACAAGGGATTCCAACGTGGTCCCCCACCGTAGTACTAACCTGGCCCGACGATGCTTAACTTCGCTGAGCAGACGGGAAGCGGTGCTGTCATCGTGGTATGGTCGTTCCTGACGTTGAGCTAAGTTTGTAGCAATATGTAGTATAAACTAGAAGAGGTTGATGATATCGATGCGGACTGCTACCGGTAGCGCTTTGGCACGTACTGTACCGCAATGGCATGGACCTTGGGTCACACCTTGCCATGCAAGAGGAGACCAAAACAGAACTTTGTTTGTGGGATGTTGAGTTCGAGCACAAGCTTGTTCGTACCTTACATTGCTTGACGATCTGGGGGGGGGGGATATCTGATATCTCTCACTATACTTTTTGTAACTTGCCTCATATCGTACGGTACCTGTAGCTAGTGATAACATCCCTGCAGGTGATGGTACTACCTACCTGTCATTCCTTTCGAAAGGGGTGCTGATGATGGTGGAAAGGGTACTTGAGCTTCTCTATTATAGATCAGCATTGGACGCTCCATCCAACATAACATGTATGTTGCTACCGGTACATGTATCGGTACCATAAAAACAGTGCCTTCAATTCGAACAGCTGCAGACTCAATGTACTGTATGACAACGTGTATCGGGCTTGTGGTCCTGAAGCTACACTTCCCAAGGAACTTTGGTTCGGAGTGAATTATTGGAGTTGAGTGGCCAATCCCGCGGATCTTTTTGTCGTGAATGGTCGATCCCATCCGTCACAGAGCAACTGAGAACTCCGTGCAAAGGGGTCGTCACAAAGCAGACATCCTCGGCATGATGCATGTGCCGACCCCTTCATTTACTTGAAGCAGAACGATCCCTTCCCGTCACTGTATCTCCCCTCAAAGCTAACATCATATCTCTTTAGAGACCAACTCACCCACATCAATCTTATCAATTACATTAGACTACCGTATCCGATTGCCTACAAAAATCTTTCCATTGTCAAAATGGCGACGACCAGGAAAGCTGCCGATACAGATGATCTTTGGACATTTTCTCTGTTTGCCCCTCCATCGGCACTATCCAGCCAAGATGATGATGATACCACATCGACGACAACAACGACAACGTCTCGTCGACTGTACCAACTGCAACGGTCCTTGACGGAAGGTGGACGAAAGGTCACGACACGAGTGACGACCTTTCCCACAGATGCGACGACTGCAGCAACCACCCGTGTTGTTGTGGACCCCAATTCGAATACTAGCACTGCTACAACTACACAAGAAGAAATTGAAATTGTGGCGACGGGTACAACTACTACCAACAAGAACGAAGGAGGAATCTCGGACGAACGAACGTCTCTCCTGGTGAATGATGAAACAAATAATCAGTCCAAGGACACAACTACAAGCACTGCTAGCAGTACATTCAATCCGACGGGATGGACGTTTTCCAGCCCCTTTTGGACGCTTCAGTCCAACATTCTACTCCGACTCACGTACAAACCGGCCTGGCAGGTATTGCCCGCATACACACGCAACAAGTGCCACAACAAATCCAACAACAAATCCAAGATGCTCGGTGCCACGGGAAGTTTTGCCGCCGCCTGTTGTTGTTCCTGTGCGTGCTGTGGCAGTTGTTGCGATGGCACACAGACGGATCCGTATCGATCCATTACCTTTACGTCCACCGATATTCGTCGGGTCGAGACGTTGCCATCCCTTACGGTTCGAGGATTGGGAGAATGTTCCGGAATTCGAGTCTACCTCGAATATCCCAATGATTGTTTTCGCCTTACGGTACCCACCAATGTCCCACAGCCCTATCAATCCGCATGGAATCAACACGTACAACACGCACAAGACAATAGTACTCCGAATAGTGACAACAACAACAACAACAACAACAACAACAACAAGTCCTTTTTGCAACAAATGAGACAAGAAATGGAGCAAGATCGAGGACAGGCAGAAACGGTACCACCCATCCTCCATGATGATGACAACATGTCCAACCCACATGTAATAGGACCCATTGTGACATTCGCCATGCCCAAAGATCATCGCGATGACGACGAACCACCCATTGCTTGGAAAGTCGATCTTCCCCCACCCGCTCATGCCGGACCCATTGCCATTGAAACCGTCACCGTCATGGATGGACCACTGCTTGTCGTGTCCAACAACACCACCAACAGCAATAGTGATTCAGCCTACCAACCCACACATGTCTACGTCAATGGATACCAAAGTTGGTCTTTTGCCGGATCGGTACCCCTGGGACAGAAACAACCCAAACCGGCCATGCCCGACACCTTTAGCAAGGCATTCAATCACGGAGCCACCCTTCCACCCGTGTCACTTGAATACGTGGCCAATCACCAACAACAAAATATTCCACACCACACGTCCAATGACTACTTGTCCGATTTCTTTACGTGCATTACGTCTCACCAAGAAGAATTGGCCGTTGACGACGACACGGAAATTGTACTCGATACCAAACACGTCACCACGGAACAACAACATCAGCATCCACAACGGATTCGAAACAATATCAAGCGACCGCGACGTCGGAGAATTGTACAACGACCGCTGGATGAACGAGGAGGACCTGCACTCGTCTTGGGGTGGTTGTCGCAACGACGACAATTTGGAATCATTTCCATGGACGCATCCTTGCAACGAATACAAATGCATGCATCGCATCAAGGACAGTTGTTATTATTACACAACAGCAGCAACAACGACAATCTCCATTCTACCGATTGGGCATTTTGTCAGTTGGAAGCACCTCACACGTACGACGAAGAGCCACTGGTGCATTATCTACGGGCCGTCGCGGGATACAATCAAGCCAAACCCTTGCAGAATGGACCGCTATTGACGGGATGGTGCAGCTGGTATCACTACTACGAAAATATTGATGAACAAAGTTTAAAAGCCAACTTTGCGACGCTCTCGTCCTTGCGCAAAACGTGTCCGACCAACGTGTCCGTCGTCGATGATGGATACATGACGGCATGGGGGGACTGGGATTCGCTCAAGCCGGGAAAGTTCTCGTCCACCAATTCCATGAAGGCCGTCGCGGACAATATTCGACAAGAATCCATGAGACCGGGAATATGGTTGGCACCCTTCACATGCGACAAACATTCCAAACTTGTCCAACAACATCCCGATTGGATCATTCGCAACCATCAAGGTCTGCCAGCCAATAGTTCCAACTGTGGCAAATTCTTTTACGGGCTAGATGCCACCAATCCACAAGTCCTGGAATATGTCTACCACTGCATCCGACGGGCTGTGGTGGATTGGGGATACAGCGTTTTGAAGATTGATTTTCTGTACGCGGCTTGTCTGGATGGGAACGGCAAGTACGACTTGTCCATGTCACGTGCCGAGGCCATGCATTTGGCATTGCACACCATCCGGTCGGCAGCTGGGCCCAATACTTTCTTGATTGGATGCGGATGTCCCCTGGGACCGGGTGTGGGATATGTCGACGGGATGCGGATTTCTGCCGATACGGGCCCCACGTGGTACCCGGCGTTGCCGCTTCCGTGGTGGGATCATGGGACTCTACCGTCCTTGCGCGGTATGATTCGGAATTCCATCACCCGCGCACCGTTGGGACATCGATGGTGGCACAATGATCCCGATTGTCTCATGTTGGGAAGCACGACAAAACTTACACTAGAGGAAGTGGCGAGCAGTGCTTCCATCGTCGCCTTGACGTGTGGGATGCTCTTGTTGTCCGATGATTTGACCAAGGTCTCTCCGGCTCGAATGCGCATCTTGACCAAGATCTTTCCCATGACAGGAGTCAGTGCCGTCGTTTTGGATATGCATTCGCTGAAAGACGGGCATGGCCTACCAACAATGCTAAGGTTGTGGTGTACCGATGTCAGTGAGAAGCGAGATGAATTCCGTCGCACCAAATCGCAAGAAGGAAACGCAACTCGTGATCACAATGAAGAAGCTGGATACTTTAGTCGTTTTGCCACTTTCCGTCTCAGTGAAACGCCTACTCACCCCAACGAACGACAACGGAGTTGCATCCACATGGTAAAGGGTCTGGGGACATGGACCATCCTGTCGCTCAGCAACTGGCTTGACACGTCGGCCGTGGTTCACATACCGCCCATGGCATTGGCTCCTCCGCCTGAAGCTGCTATTGCGGCACCTCTTCGGGTTCCAACCAGTCCTGATCATGGATACCATGTGTTTGCGTTTTGGTCATCAAAGTACCAATGGATAGCTGGGACACCGGAGCACCCTGATGCTGATGTTTCAGACAACTCAAACAATGACGACGATGCCTTTTCCACTGACGCTCCTCTTCTGAGCAAGCTATTGGGCCCGCATGAAACAGAAATATTCCACATCAAACCGGTCACACCGCAGACGCCGCAGTACCTGGGAAGTGACATTCACTTCTCGTGCGGGCAGGAGGTGGACATCTTCCACTCACAAGAGCACCTGTTGACAATTCAGCTTCGAACGGACTACCATCGTGTCGGGCACATCTTTGTGTTTGTCCCCATTGTCAGCACAAGTCAAGTGAGAGCGACCTGTGCGGGTGAACCATGTCGGTGGACTACGGTCGGTAACACTCCTCAGATTGGAAACAGCGGCAGTCCCAACAGTGTGCTTGGACGAGTGTTACAGATCGAAGTTGCGGCGCACGGTGATGGGCGAGACAACGACGGCACGATCACATTGGAGTATTAGCTAGCTAGTAAGACACTTCGACAAACCTAATGCTAAAAACTAGAATCGTTTTTTTTATATTTTGAATTATGCTGCCTAACAGAAATGTAAGGCGAACTCATCTTCCAGTACAGTGTCCCTCGCTTTCACGAAGTGTACAACACTGTTGTAAAATGGTTCAAACCTTAGAGAAGCCAAGTTCTGCCAGACCAGTCCTTGATATCATCCCCAGATAGCGTGGCTACCCTTTGCCAGAACAGCGACCCGTTTTAGGTACGGTCTCAAACCTGAGTGTCCACAGTTTGAAGTGTTTTGTGTCTGTCGGCTGCTGTCAACGCTTCCACTGAGTGTTCTTAGAAAACCGCTGCGCAAGGAGAGCTCTACAGAGGAATTCTCGACTAACCACACGGAGTCAGGGAGAAGTAAACTCCGGCCCTGTCCCCCCAAACGCTCTATAGATTTGTTCCGTTGCTTCCATTTCTCCATCCGTTGGTGAGTATATCTGCCAGAAGCTAGTTTGATCCTCTCGGTGTCTAGCGAATTCACAAATATGAAACTCTATAACTTCGCCTGACTTTGGGTGATGTGCATTCTGAGATTGGGAGGAACAGTTAGACTTCATCAAAGATCAGGTTTGTAGCCACAGCCATTTCTCAGCCCTACTCACCGTGAGGCAGTTTTCATGTGTATATCCCTGGAACTGTCCCAATTCAAATCGGCTGCCAGGATCAAAACTGCCAGAAAGAGCAAAGAATCTTTGTCGCTCATCCTTTGGGTCGCACTCTGGATTCAAGTATAATGCACTTTCATGTCTGTACAAGCACCAATCGGACATGGTTTTGATGAGCACTTCTGGATGTTCGTCGTGGCCGCTGTAGTAAGGCCCGAGAGGTTCAAAAGTGAACCATTGGCGAGGATCTCCCTCTAAGCATGCCCCAATATAAACCTGGGAAGCAGTACAGTTCTTTAGTTCATCGCCATGCCAACATTCACTGAATGTTCCACAAGAGCAGAAACGCCATCCAAACATAGTAAGAATCTGTGTACACCAATCCAGCCAGTGCATCACCGGTTAAGCATGCATCCCCATTCACTCACCCGCTCCCCGGATATCCATCATAGTTATAGATCATGCACCATTCTCGCTCCAGGGTTTCGTTCTGCCAAAAATAGCCTTCTTCCCAGTACAACTTGAGCCGAAAAGCCCATAGGGGAGGTATTGGATCTGGCTCTGGTGGTGGGTAGAGTGGGTTCCACGTACAGAAATCAGCGCCGATGTCTACCTCTTCGCCACCTTTACAATATGGAGAGGGTTCAAATTTTCTTCTTTGAAAACAGTATAAATCCCCTTCACAGTCATCTAATAAGTTGTTGAGATATCTGCCCCCAAATGTTGTGCGGCTTTGGCAAAGTCGGTGTGGACTTACCATCTGTGGTGCAGTCTCCTTTGCAAACACCAAGTGGGTATCGAGCGTACCATCGACCACTATGTCCCACAAAATCCAACGACCCTAACGACAGAGGATCCTCAAAGGCACTGCTGATGTTGACTATTTCATCGGCGCTTGCTTCATCTTGTCGGTCTCTGCCTGGAGGGCGTTCAACGGAGGCATAGGCTTCGAACGACCTGGAGGGCGAAGCTGAGGTGGAATTTTCTCGCACTGCCACCCCGGTAGATGAAAAAGTTGTGACTCGGCCATCCCAAGGACCTTGTAATTTGCGCTGGTGCGAATTCGCCGTTTGCCGAAAAATGGTGGATACCCCAAAGATGGCTATCCACAGTACAATCGTTAAAACTGAAGACCATTGTCTCATCTTTCCTTTATCCAATCTGCTTATTGTAGCTGGTGCTATCTCCAATCGCCAAGTTCTTCAGTACGCCTACTTGCTAGCTAGCTAATTTCTACCCATTTCCATGGTGTTGCTGGTCATTGTTGTTGCGTTGTTGCCTTTGTGGAAGCCAGGTTTTTCCAGGTTGGCATCAGTCAGTCAGCCAAAAAACCTTTGTACCGGATCTCTCGCAAGCCAGTCGTGTTGATGATTCAGCAAACCGGGACTCGTCTTTCAGACTTTCACCCCCTTCCGTTCTGCTCTCAACGAGGCCTCAAGCAGGGTGGCCAAGCTATCGTTGGGATATCTTGCACCTGCTGATTCAGAGCACGGGTGATGGCATCTCTGCGCAGCAACGAATAGACTCGGCGACCAAACTCTGGCATGGATGCTTGTCTCTGTCAAATCTATCAAATGCAGCAAATGTGAGCGTGCCAAAAAATAACTATTGAGCCTCCATGCCGGAGGTTGACTAGTAGGTGCCGAGTCTCCACTCTCCCGACTGCTTCTGTAGATACATGTAGCTTCCCTACTCTAGTAGATCCCCCGGAACATCTCCAGCCAATCTCGCTCTTTGCTGCTTCTGAGCTGCTTGCATTTGATAGATATTAAGGACCCAAGCAGCCTTTGTCTGCATGCCTGCCTGGGGATCCTTGACTGCACCTCCTTCAACTAAGACTACGCCAGAGAGGGCGAGAAGCAAAGAAGTTGGAACAAAGGCGTTGCACTGTTCTGTACTCTAGTAAGCATTTCTGCCTTTGAAGTGAGTCCAAGCATCTACATCGTACCGGTACCTCATTGCAGTCTCAATCATGCTGAGCATTTGCCATTTACCCTCGCAAAGCGAGACTATTCTTTAGAGGAGAAGAAAGGATGGATTCTGTTGAAAGTTGAAAGTACAATGTCATGTAGTTAGTGCCGCCCCTTGCGGTGGCACGGTGGACCAGGAACGAAATCGGAACACTTCAGTAGCTAAAAGCGCAGCCCCCCGCAACCATTTCAGATTCCCCAGCTACATTAAACCAACGGCCAGTACCTGGTAGTCATCCTAACTAATCACAACTTACAGCAGTAGCGAAAGCGCTGTCAAAGCTGGCAACCAACATGCCAATCCCAAACTCTACAATAGCTACCAAAACAACCACCCCGGTTTGATCGGTACCGGTACCGGTACCGGTACGATGTTCCGGATTGGACGTCGCGAAATGCGAAAGCTCGCTGGGCACATCGGAATGATACATTCATACATTCGTTCGTATTCTACAATGGAAGGCGGACTCTAAAGCCACCTTGTACCTTGTGTCCTGAACTGGACTATTGCCCCCCTGGTTATTTATTACTGAGTACTCTGGACCTAGTACTGTACTCAGTACTGTATTTCTTTTGCTTCAACGTTTCAACACTGATCGTGGTTGGTGTGTTGGTGTTGGTGTACTACATACTACATACTACAGGTACCGTATGTGTTACAGACAGGTGCAGCCGAGAGCCGAGTACTGGTAGTGGGGAGTTGAAGGTTGAAGACATTTCAAAAAGTTTCTGAGAAGGTTCCTCCTGGAAGCCTGGAAGGTGTCAATAATTGTCGGGGCTTGATGATCTTTTTGGATTTATTTATGCACAAGCCCGCTAAGAATCTGTCCCCTATTTCTATTGAACTCCGTCGATAATGCCTGTTTTCTACAGCTTTCATCCAGACAATTTTCGGAGGATCTTTTTCCAGGCCCGCCCACATGCACAGTACAGCGGGACTAGCCAGAGCTAGCTATTTTAATAGTATCTTGTCCATGGTTATGGTTTGACAGAGAACAGAGAACCAGAAGATCTTTCCATTCATTTTGCGACAGTCTGCGGACAGGAAGTTATTGAAACATTGTAACTTCGCACTTTTCTTTGCCTCCCTCAAAGAGCCTCGGACCGCAAGCCTTCACTGGGGCCACAATCTCAGTTGACGAGCAAGTGCTTCCCATACCAAACCATTTTATCACCGCCAACTCGATCGGAACAATCTTTCAAGTTACCATTCTTACCATGATATCTGGTGCTTTCTCTCCTGCCAATGCTCAACTGTGGACCGTGTACTGCATGGACGGCCCCGATCGCATTGTCCATGATCCCAGTGGCGGAAAGAGAAAGGGTGGCCTGCATCGCATGGCCTATCTGAACGAACACAATGCCTACCAGATTGCCACGTCGTTGCAGAGCCACCGTTGTTTCGTCCGCAAACAAGCTTCCGTGCCAATGCTTGCACCCGATGGCATCACCATGATTGGATCTTGCTTCTTGGTCAAGGCTTCCCGAGAAGATTGCGAGCGTTTCATCCAAATGGATCCATACTACGTGAACAACGTGTGGGCGTCCGTGTCCATCAACAAGTTCTCAGGTGCTACCAAGGCACTCGAGGGCAGCAGCAGTGAGCCCACCACTGCTCCTGCATCCAGAACACGAGACCAGCGGGGACCTCATAACCTCCAAGGAACCAACTCTGCGGGCAATGGCTTTTACATATCCCGTCGGATCTAGATCTTGCCTGTCGAATCTTCAATCAACCAGTTTGTATCTTCTTTCTTCATAGATTCATGTTCCACATGCTGGGCTTTTGCTTTCTCGTTGCTCTTGGTCCGACCTGGGGCAATGCAGTACAAGTAACTAGTTACCTAGCGGACTTTATACATTTACATATACATACACGTGAAGCCATTCGTAGATTATTGTTGCGCATGTTCTTCCACATCCTTCCCAATTCTCAGATCTGGGCTTCTGGCAGATCCCCTGGTAGCGGCGATCCGGTACACTCGGAACGAACATGATCGCGACTTCCTTGGTGCGCTGGGTGCCGGTGGCCTCACCGTACGGTAACAGAGGTCAACACAGTGATGAGCCAGTATCGTTGCTCCTTCCTCGATATCCATTGGATGCTATCGGTAGACGTGGCGTGGTGCTATCGAGTAGAAGATAGCTAGTGGGCCCAGAACATGCTCTTGGTTTCCTCAGCGAACCATGGGCTAGCTACATGTACATCATTGGTAGTCTACGTTTCGAGAGCTTCCTATGTCAATGGCGGCTGAGTTGAAGCTTGCATAGGAAGCGTGCTCGTACGTACTGTACGTGTATACGTGTATCCCACTCGAGTGTGCTTGCGGTCCGAGTTCTTCGCCTGTAAATGGTTCAAGGCTAATTCACCGCTACAAGGAGTAGACTTACTCCTTGAAACAATACAGGTGAAAGAACTCACGTCAAGAACGCAAGCAAACACACCAGAAAGTGAGACGCGGTGGAGGAAACGAGGAAACTTGCACTTTCGAGATCACGTCTACATTTATTTGAAGGAGGCAACTATGGACTACTAGGAGTATGACTCGACTCGACTCAAGCCCTTGTTAGGTTTCGTGGTGGACGCACCAGATGCAAGCGCCGGACGTACCGATATGCCCCTTTGTGAAACAGCATGTGCTGCAGGCCCTCCACGCAGTGTTTGCAAACCTCTTCCGTCGTGTTTCGATAGTGTTATCGGACAAAGTGAACCTCCATCACCCGACCCTAACAATGGCGGGTGGGATGTGCGTGAAAAGTCACAAGAAGATACTTTCGTTGCAATAAAACTACTTTTATTTGGCGTGAATCTGCAACAGAACGCCGATAGGTCAGCCCACGAACAGTTCGAGAAGTGCCAAGCTTGCATGCAATTAACGAGCACTCTAGTTTAACCTTTGTTTGTGTTGTATGATATTTTTGGATGTGCCTGTTGTGACGCTCTCAGCACCTCTAGTTTATCTTGTTTCTTGTCTTGCTGTTGTCGTCATAATGTACATGGTGTGCCACAAAATAGACAGAGCGATCTCCGTCCAACACCGCCTGGGATCAACAGGACCCCGTTACCACTTCACATTGAGTTTGGCCCCTTCAGTGTCTTTACCAGCCTCAGTACTCGCCACCTTCAAACTACTCGTCTCCACATTCTCCTGGGAACTGCCTTTCGCCAGGATTCTGTCGAATCTGCGGGAATTGGAGAGCAGTTTCACGGCTTCCTTGACTTGTACATCAGTCTTGACCCCACGTTCGATGAGCATGCTCTCTGGCAGGTACCGTGCGAGGATACTCTGTGTAATATCTTCCTTGATATCAGTTTTGTAACGATCAAAGTCCTTCATGACCTCTCTCACGATGGTTTGCTTCAAGCGATCAAGCTCTTTTTCAGATCCTTTGTAGCCGCTTTGCTGTAAGACCTTCTTCAAGTCAACAATAGGACCATTGTACAAAGCTTCCAACTTGATTTCTCCTTGCTGCTGCTTTTGACTCACAAACTTTTGGAATTCGCGGTACGTATCGTCGTCCACCTCGAACTTGTTGCTCAATTCGTGCGAGCGACTCCATTGAGCAGCAAAATCTGCAATCATGTTTGACCTCAAGAGTGTGACTTCCAATGCGGAAGCCTTGGGGGCAGCTACCTTCAAGTCTGCTTCAATGCCACCTCCATCTTGCACCGGCCGGCCCAATTTGGTGTAGAAAACACCTCGATCTTTCTCCGCCACCTTCTTTTCGATGTAGCGAGAGTTGGCGCCTAAGCCTCCTCCCTCCTTGTATTGGATGCCTTGAATGCAGCGGCCACTTGGTGTGTAGTACTTGGCGACGGTAAACTTGAGCGCCGTGTCGAACGGTAGCTCTTCCACGTTTTGCACTAGGCCCTTGCCAAAGGTCCGATCGGTTCCAACGATGATCCCAACATCGAGATCTTGAATGGCACCAGAAACAATCTCGGCAGCGGATGCAGTTCGGTCGTTGACGAGCACTGCCAGTTTGGTCTGGGAATAATCCAGAATAGGGTCCACTCGACTGCGATAGAGAACGCCAGGGAAACCTCTACCTCTAGCTGACACAATATCACTTCCCTTGGGTACCAAAAGCGATGATACATCCACGGCGGAGGTGAGCAAACCACCAGGATTTCCTCTTAAATCCAAAACCAAACCCTGCAATGTGTGCTCTCCATTGCTGGCATCCAGTGCCGCTTGCTGGAGTGTCAAAATGGCGTTACGCATTTCCGCTCCTGTTTGGGAGGCAAATCCGGAAAGCTGAATGTAACCCATCCCATCACGTGGATCTCCGAGCAGAGTGGCCAGTTTGACATCTCGCACACGCACAATCTGCCGAGGCATGGTCACAGACTGGACGCCTTCTACCCCTTCGCGGGTAAAGGAAATGGTCACCAGAGTTCCCGGTTCCCCACGAAGTGTGTTGCGAACGTCCTCTACAGTAAAGTCTGCAGTGATTTTTTTGTCGTCAATAGATTCCAACTTGTCACCGACCCTCATTCCATAATCAAAAGCGTACCCTTCAAATGCCGAGACGACATGAATCCCACGATCCCGAGCCAACTGCGACTGCTTTTTGAAGAAGGCACGTTCTTCGGCATCGATTTCTTCACCATCTTCGTCAAGATAATCTTCCAACTCGTCTACTGCATTGCCCATGCTGTCCATGTCACCCTCTTTGGCTCCTACCGGTGTTGCCTGATCAGCCGGGACGTTGAGTTTTGCTGGCGTCTTTTTCTCAGGTGTTACACGCCCTGAAATGACCAATCCTACACCTCCATACTTTCCCTCGATGCTTTCCGTCAAATCCGTGGCTTGTTGTCTTCCTTCAAACTCCGTGTATGGATCAAGGGAGCTGTGATCCAGGAAGCAAAGATTGTAAGGTGAGCGACTGTAAAACAATACTATTTCAAACTACAACATGATGTAGCTGACCATCCAACTCACCGCAACATGGCCGAGATTCCAGTTTCAAACAATTTGTTGGTATCGACTTCTTCCACATAGCCACGGTCCAAATCACTGAGAATGGTCTCAAAGAGAGTGACTGGTTCGGTCAGAGTTTCTACTTGGTTGTAGACGGGGATAAAAATGGCTCCAATGGTAAAAACAATGCCAGCAACAAAACTCAAAACTCCCCACGTCAATCGTTCTCGGATATTGCCAAACCATTCAGGAATTTCTTTGAGAAAGGGGAATTTGGTTTGAAGCTGCTGCCAATACTCGCTGCACTTTTCCAAAAAAGCGTCCAATCGCTGGTTGTAGGGTTCCAAGAATTGCGGCAGTTTATTACTGCTGAGGTCATCATCTTTATTGTTGTTGCTATTGTCGTCGTCATTTTTTCCATTCTGCAACGCCACAGACGGTGATACCAGTTGTTGACTTTTTCGTCGTTGGCGCCATCCACTGGATATCACGGAGGATTCTCGCAATCTCTTGCGTAGACTGTATCAAAATGAAAGCAAGGCAAGGTGACAGCAAGAATGTCAGAATTTTGCAAAACCAAAAAAATCCAAAATGATACCCCCATTGCAAAAACCAATTATCTCCTCTCTTACATGTCTCGTTTGCGCCTCCGAGAACCTTCTTCATTGCCATGGGAATGAAAGCACAACTTGCTCTTGGACGGATAACGACTGGTGGGGGTATCCACAAAATTTCTTGTGGCGGGTAGGACGAAAGCATTGGTATCCGAGGCAAGCCAACTCAGGACCAATAGAAACCTGGTGGACTTGCAAAGAAACGCATTGCGGGACTTCATCTTGGCTTGGCTACTCTTACTGGCAAAATGTATCAAATAATTTTGCCAAAGGAATGCAAATGGTGGTCGGAATCCTTATTGTGTCGCCACTCCACAAATTCTGTTCTGAAGATATCAGGAAGATCTCTTCCTTTCTGTGACGTGCCAATGTTCAGAACAACCACCCTACCCTGTTCGGCCACGGCAATGATGTGTCTGGCAATGACACAGAACTTGTCGAAACTGAAGGGCCAACTGGAATTCTTCGATTTTAGACCGAAAAATGACACTGCGCATTTCTCCCTTGTTCTGGTCGGCATCAGTGTTTGAGCCCTCCGCCAATCACAGATCTGGGCTTTCCAATCGTTACCATTCGTCACTCGACCGAGTACCGGTACGTGTTTCAGCGAACGGTTTTACAAAAGCCAGCGAAGTGGTTAAAAGGTGTTTGGGCCTGGTGTCGGCCCAAAATGAGTCAATCTTGGAGAGGGGTCCGGTGTTGATCCCGGAGTGGGAGCTGATACGACAGAGGGTGACGATGTGAGACCTCCACATGTAGTAGAGTGGGGTACCTGGTACCGTATGGAGTATCAATGGGCCCAGGAGTGGATCTCAGAGTGGGGCCTGACGGATAGACACATGTCCTGGTCTCGGGTCTGATGTTGAATCTTTGATGGGTCCTGGAGTAGGGGAGGGATGAGTCGAGTCGAGTCCTGGGGTGGTGCCAGGTGTCGACCCAGGAGTGGGGCATGTACTTACATGGGTCCAGGAGTGGATCCCATCCAGAGTGGGCATGGGGTAAGCAATGGGCAGACAACCTCTTGACCTTCGGACCTACTTCCGCATGATCATCAAGTCTAGCTCCTACGGTACCTGTAGTAAGGCAACACCTGGTACCATGCAGTCCACACCAGGATTACCACCCAGCTGACCATAACTACCTTAGCTACGCTGCCAGAGGACTAATCCTCGTTCTACAACCTCTTTGAACGAAAGCATTTGCAACTAGCTCGAAAATCAAATCTATACCTTGAAATACTGCTTTCGTCGTGTCCACACACGCATGGTAGTCATTAAACCCCTGCCCCCACCCTCTGCTTAGTGGATCATGAACAACTACCGTGCGGTACCGAAATCTACACACGTAATATAGATTCGATTCGATTGACTTTAGGTAGCACCTCGGCAGCTATTAATACCTGCAAAGGACGTGTGCACTTATGATTTATGAATGAAAAATATCCAAGTACCTCAAGGGTAGAGCCGGTTTGCTTGATCCCAATGAACGTATGTTAGCATTTCTGTTTTTGGTTCCTTGTTGCAACAATTCAAAATGACATGAAAGCCGGAAAATAGATACAGTTTGAATAGCCCTGTGTCTACACAATGGTTGGAGCATTGATGGGTAGACCATTTTCGGAACAAGCCGAGGCACGGTAGGTATCGTAATCGGCGGTATGCCGTGCCATTTGACAAACGGTCAAAGGGAGGCAAAAGAAGGCGCAGCAGCAATCCTCGCAGCCCGCGCACACGGTTTCGGGGATGGAATACCGACGACGAATGTAGGATCGTGTTTTCATGACGACAAAGAAGCAATATACCCAAAAGCAGAAATCCCACCAAGACATGGGAAGGAAAATTGGCAAGGGAAGCTCCCACAATTCCTTCCACAAGCTTTGTGCCGTCAGGTACTGTCCAGCGAGGTAGATTATAAGAATGAACATGACCACCTTGAAGGCTGAGATGCGGATTGTTTGTGTTTCGGAATCTCTATAATCTCCAATCCATGTCAGATTCATTCTCGTCATGACTTGCCCCAACGGAACCGGAAAGCAAAAGAGCCCCATGCAAATGACGGGGTGACAGCAGCCAAAGCGAAAGCAACTCAAGATATCATCTCTCCATCGATCATTGGGAATGTCCATGTACCGAGTGCTCGTAGCTGTACTCCCCGAAGCACCTACAAGGTTGGCGGTGAACCGTTCTCCTTCCGAGACTCCACCTTCGGGCTGCGGTTCAGGGATGATAGAAACAAAGAAACATAGTAGAGTGAGTCGGCCAAGCTCGTGAGAATAATCGAGACCAACCGGGCCGAAACAAAGAGAGAGAGAGAGAAAAAAAGACGTTTCCTACTACGGAGTCGCTCCTCCCACGGGCCCACCATTCCAATCGGAATGCCTCAAGCGCCACTAACAAGACTCACCACTATCACACTCGAGTGCACTACGTCGCCCATGCTGCTGATGGTGCTCACTTCCAAGCCGTATCCCTCCGGAAGCGACGATGGGGCCAGCACTTCTACCCGCTCCACATCGGTGATTAGAGGCGCCGATGCTTGGGCCTGCGAATCGTCGTCTATTACTGCCATGGTCAAGCAGATCAATGGCTCTTGGCTTGGCTCCGAATGAATGAATGGGAAGGCGAACGCCGAGACAAACCCACAAAAAAAGCAGTCTGTCAGAAAGGTATTTTCGTATGACGGACAGACGACTCGGGATCCACAATCACGGTTCGTGATTGGGGATGTGTGACTCAAATCAGATGGTTATCCGATCATCATCAGATGGCCAGGAGTACGAGGAACGAGGACAATGGTCGTCTAGATGATGCAACTACAAAGTTAGGAAGTTAGGTCGAAGAGATGAAAGCAAGAGCGAGGGACGGAGCAAATGATGGACGGATGAAGGTCCATAGGTTTAGTAAAGTGGGAAAGCCCTCCAGGGCCAACCATGCACTTCAGGAAGATAGATCGACGAGATCTATCTGCAGATGAAACTGCGAGAAACAAAGGATCGAAAGATCCTGGTATATGTATGCATATCGGAGCTCAGTTGTAGAGCTCACAATCTGAACGAGAGAGAAAGAGAAAACGAAACAGATAGCCAGTCTACTAGACAGTAGAGCTGGAAGGATATTGATTAAATTAGAGAAATTGTGCGTTCAAGTTCACACCTTTTCAACACGTTTTAAAACGATAGCTATCAGGAAAGAGTGAGCTTGGATCCAGGTTGTCAAACAGGAAAGAGAAGAATTGAGAAGTAAGTAAAGATGTCTACGGAGGTAGAGGTATCATCGTCGAGCAAGTATCCCATCTTCGATGGGAAAGATGAGAAGTTCAGGTTCTACAAGGTCAAGATGATGGCCCATTTATCGAAGTATGGGTACGTAGAACTGATGAAAGACTCTACGGAGATCAAACCGACAACTGGGAAAACCCTACAGGTACGGGCAAGTTGTCGGACGACGAAGTAGAAAAGATCGAAAGTCTGCAGAAGAAAACAGCAAGGCTGCTGGAATATGCTGGATTCGATCAATGGAGACCATCGAAGGGCAAATCGCCTTCGACCTACTGGCCTCACACCAAACGACTGACCTGCTGCTGGGAAATTCAAAGGCATGTGGGAGTCCATGCTGGACCTCTACGATGCTGAAGACAGTGGGGAGGTAGCAGCTCGACGAACGGAATACTACGCAATAAAGATGGACATCAAGAAAAACCCAAAGAAGTTCGAAATTGGACTCGACGTGAAACCAAGAAGCTAGCGAAGGATGGGTTCAAGATATCGGACGAAGAATACATCAAGGACCTTCTCGAGAAGATGCCGAAGAGGAAGGAGAACTCGGAGTTATCATGAAGTGAAGAAGAAAGTTCTGCGAAGGATCAAGACAAACAGGACATGGAATAACGTAAAGAGTGTGGTGGATGACTTATGCGAAATCTACGATGGAGATTAAAGCACGGAAATCTCTCTCTTTT